TCAACACAGACATTCAGTCCTTAATAATCTCCTTGACTTGAATTTCTTATACTTTGTATTTTTGCCTTTTCCTTCCCGCGCATGTGCTCAGTGGTCCGGGGCACCCCTGGTGTGCTCAATGTCAGAACAATCATGTTCCCCCCCACCCAAAGCTGTGTGCATTGGCGGCCATGCTGAGCTCTCAGTGAGTGCGGACCACCTGGTGTGTTAGGGCAGCATTCCCCCCCTGTGTCCCCACACTCATCTTCTACATGGTACAACTGATCATTGTCAACCAAGTCCTTAGGAACCTTACGTAGTATTCTGTGAAGTGGTGTTTCCCTTTCGGACAAAAGATTACTTTGTAGGGAAGAGGGAGAATGAGATTAAAAGAGAAAGTGCATGTGTCCGACGCTGCCTTCGGAAGAGGAAGGCCCTGTCGGGCGTGGTGTCACCTCCTGTGTCCCCTCAGGGCCCCACGGCGAAGCACATAAAGCTGATAATGGAGCGGCTGCTGAGGAGGATCAACCGGACAGTCATTGGGATGAGCCGCCAGTCCCCCCATATCGTGAGTACCCCTGCAGGGCCCACGCCGCCGCCGCCGCCTCTCCGTGTCCCACAGTCTGTGCCTATGCGCCGTGCGGTGTAGCTTCCTCGGGAAATGAGTTGGGTCTAGAACTTTCCAGCCCTCCCCTGATGGGGTCCCTTGGGTATGACTGTGAGCAGGTCTTGATTCTGCCACTGATTTTTCTCTCGAGGAAAATGATGCCACTGGGTGGTAGGGGAGGCCAGTGGGGGAGAGTTATTAAGATCCTGTCACTATAGAGCGCGCCATCAGTTCTTCGGGGGTCTTGCTCATATGGAAGGTTAAATAAAAGCACATTGTAGATTGAAGCAGAAACCAACTGAGACATGCAGCAGCCTAGGTAGACTGATAACCATATCCATTCAACCTAATCCTTTATTATTATTATTTTCTTTTATTAAGGCATCATTGATATACAATCTTACAAAGGTTTCACATGAGCAACATTGTGGTTACTACATTCACCCATATTATCAAGTCCCCACCACACACAGCCCTTGCAGTCACTGTCCATCAGCGTAGTAAGATGCTACAGAGTCACTGCTTGTCTTCTCTCTGCTCTAATGCCTTCCCCGTGCGCCCCCCACATTATGTGTGCCAATCATAATGCTCCTTAATCCCCTTCTCCCTCCCTCCCCACCACCCCTCCTCACCCCTTTCCCTTTGGTAACTGCTAGTCCTTTCTTGGAGTCTATGAGTATGCTGAAGTTTTATTTCTTCAATTTTCTTCTCAACCTAACCCTTTTTAAATACTTGTTTAATATTTTATTTAAGGAAAATGTGAACCCCTGTGAGCAGAAAAGGAGGGGGTTTGGTGACAATTGCAGCATCTCCTTTGTATCTTGTCACTTAGTTGACTCGTTCTCAGTTTACTCACCTGCCCTGCTGGAATCCCAGTGTTAGTACTCCCAGGGGTGGGGTGAAGATGTAGTCATCATTAGCTGATTTGTGTGTTTGCCAGAAACTATTTTAAGCACTCCACATTTCATTGAAACCTCATGCCAATCCTATGAGATGGTTCTCTTATCTGCTTCATTTTTCAAATGAGGAAACATGCAGAGAGAGGTGAAGAAACCTGCCTGTGGTCACAGCACTGCAGGAGATCAAACTGGGATTTGGCCCCTGTGCGGGCAGCGCGGCTGCAGGGCACGTGCATGTTGCCAGCCACCCCCTTCCCCACACAGTTTACCAAAGTACGTTTCCAACCTTGTACTGTGGTCGCCAGGAGAGGAATTCTGAACAGTTCAGCTCCTTTCCCGCCCCATCACATTTCCACTCTGCTCTTCTGGGTGTTGATGGGTGGGGGCCTGTGGTCCTTTCCAGCCCCTTGCAAAGCAGAAGACACGTACATTGAACAGAACTTGTGGACAGCATGCTTTTAGGGTCTCTAGCCTCTTACTCTCCATCTACTGGGTCTAAATAGATACCACATAGAAAGTATGATTGAGACCGGAGGGACTATCAGAAGGCCAAGTTGCATCATCATTAAAATGAAGTCTCTTTTACTTGTGATACTGAGAGCTAGGATTCGATTTTAGTTCGAGGACAGAGGAAGACAACTATCCCAAATCGCTACTGTAAATAAAAACCATCTGTTCCACAAATGTATTAAGAAACTGTGGTAAGCTAGGCACTGTTGTAGACCCTGGATATATTGGGGAAAAAACAGACAAAAATCACGAACTTAGAGAGGCTTAGAATCTAGCAATAACAATAACAAAGAAAAATAAAGTACACAGTGTTAGAAGGAGGTAGCGCTGTAGAGAAAAAAATGAGCAGCGTAAAGGAAGTCAGGGTGGGAGAGTCACAAATTTAAACAAAGTGGTTAAAAATGGCTTTCCTGAGAACTTCAGACAGAGACTGGAAGAAGGTGAGGGATGTGCGGGGTCGGGCCTTCCAGGGAGAGGTGAGAACAGGGCAGAGACCCTAGCGAGTCCCTTCCAGGATTCACATGTGGACAGCAGAGCTGATATGAATAGAATGCCGAGAAATGACTGCAAGCGAAACATTGTCTTTCTTCTAGATAAAGAGTCAGAGGGATCCAGAGCATATTATAAAAGGTCCAGATCTTGTATTAAAGGTGTAGACACGAGATGTACCACAGATTGCTATTGCCAAGTCATTTCTGCCATATATGTAAAGAATATATAAAGAAAGGCGGGTGGGCAACCATGTTGCTTAGGAAACAGTATATTGGCTTACAGAAAATACCTAGTATATCATTTAAATTGACCCATTCGGCCTCTTGTAGGAGTGGAAACATCCATTTCTCCCTTATTGTTTAAACTAATCTCAAGAACATTGGCTCAGTGTTCAGAGAGAAGGGTGAGGATTTGAATGTAAAAGTTGCAGTATTCCTTTCATGTTTCTGATAAGATGATGGGAGCAGAAATGGCTGGGATCCATGCAGAGACAGAGCCCCCATGCAAAGAGAGAATGCTTGAGACACATAAATGTAAGAAGGAGAAGAGGGGGGAAAGGCATACAAAGGGACAAAGACACAATCACAGAGAGAAATGTTATATATGTGTATGGCTTATACACACACACACACATAGGGCTTAATATAGTTTATTCTGGATATTCAAGAATAGTTAAATATTAGAGAATCCATTAATAAAGTATATCAGCTGGCTAAAAGGAAAAAAGCTTATGACTCTCTCCATAGATACCCAACTATATGGCAGATACAACACATTAAGAATAGCAGGAGATGTTTTTGACATGCAATCACCAGGCAACACAAAAGGAAGTCCAGATGTTGAATCTCATACTGCTGCCGAGCATTTTTCTATAAAACCTTGCCAATGTAAATAAGGCCAAAAAGAAACACACTAAGTGTAAATATTTAAAAAGGAAAGATAATTATCCTAAGTGTCGTTTTTAGCTGCAAAGACTACCATTTCTAAGAAACCCAAGAGAACTGAAAATTTCAAAAAACTAATGAATGGTTTATTAAACTAACCAGTTTCAAAACAATATCTCAATGGCCCTTCTAAGTGTAACAACAGTGGCTACTTAAAGATTGTAAAAGAATTCCACTTAAGTCACAAAAATATGAGAGTAAAAATAAATGTAAGACACAAATAAATGATTAGCCAGATAGAAATAATGGAGAACTTGCCTGTCAAGTTTGAAAATATTATAATGCTGCCCTAAGTAAAATAGTGTTGGGCTTCTTCAGTAGAGTACCTCTATCAACAGAACGGAACAGAGAAAATTCAAAAGGAGACTTTTCAGTTATATGAATGTTCCTTACCTTTCAGTAAGGGAAATGAGGATTTCTTCATAAGTTATTTGGAAAATACATGAACAATGCAGAAAAAAATTGTTTGATTTTTATGGCATGTTATACACACAAAGTAAATTTTAGATGGAATGAAGTGTTCAATGTAAAAAACAATTAAATCATAACACAGGTAGAAGAAATATATACCTATGTTTTAGCAAAAAGGGATTCATGAATTTTTAAATACTGAGAGGGTAGTATAAAAGAAAACAGATTTTACTAGGGAAAAAATTTAAGCCCCTATATGTAAGCAAATTAAACATTAGGCACAAATTAAAATTTTGTTAAACTATGTGACAAAACCAATATAAGAATGTATATCAACGATACTTCAATTTAAAAAAGTGTCAAGTATCTAATAGCCTTAAATACAAAGAGCTGTCATAAGACATTTAAAAAGATAGTTTAATAGGAAAATGTTTATAAAGAATATGAGAAGATAACGAAATGAGAAAAATAAGTGGCCAAGATGTGTAATTGAGAATAAAGGAAATGCAAATAAGCCAAAAATGAGATAAAATAAAACTCCTATGTCAAGAGTAGGCAAAGGGCCTGGAGAAACAAGTAGTGCCAGAATCTGATGACAATGCGAACTGTAGGCTAGTTTGGCAATATAGACTAGAAGCCTAGTACAACAATTCACGTTGCTTTATAATTAAAAAATTTAAATAAAAGAGACCAAGTCAGACCCTCATACAGAGATATATTTAGGTAGTCTCATTGTTTTTGTGCTGAGGAACTCATCCCCTCCATCCGAAGAGCTGCTGTGTATTCATCTCCTTTTTGTCAAATTAATATAAATTTGTGTGTTTTCATGACTGTATAAATCGAGGAAGATATTACCCCAAGATATTTGCCCTCTGGCTGGAAAATTCTGTGATGCAAATATGGTTGGACTAGGGGAAAGAGCACTGGATGTGTGATTCTTGACCTCGAGAATAGAATGATGTTAATGATCTAATCACTGAATCTCTTTCTTCAAACCCTGTCCACAATTACAGTGGCATAGCATGCTGGGAATAACTGGGTAGAGGATTCTAGAATTAAATAAAGTGATACTGAAGTATTCTGGCAGGGGTCTTTCATTTCCTACCCTGTTCTCTGCTCTTCCCCTCTGTTTTATTACCTCTCTATACTCCTTGCATTCCTCCAAACTCAGATTTATCTGAGTGATCTAAATATTTCAGACATTTCTCCATGGGTTTTTTACACTACAACTCTGTCTCAACAAGAAACTCAAAGTCCACATGTTATATCTTAACTAGTAATCAAGCTAAGATCTTAGAGTCAGTGTCTCTTGACTTACAGGATTCTACAAATCATAGCTGTTACAGGAATGAGTCAAGCCCTCCACATTCCTTAACTCAAACCTGCAAGGAGGTCATTCTGAGCAGAAACAGCAAAGTGCATGCCCTCTGGATGTTTGAAAGCATGCAAGGTTTCCAGTTTGGTGGGGTCTGTGCTTAGGTAATTGGGTGGAGAAGCCAAAGCACTTGTGCACAAATCTTGTTTTGTCCCTTGGTGGCCTGAGGAGCATGGATTTCCATTGTTTTTTTTCCTTCCAGGGTAGTTTTGTTGCTTGCATGATTGCCATCCTGAGGCAGATGGATGACAGCCACTACAGCGACTACATCAGCACTTTCAAAACCAAACAAGACATCACTGTAAGTTGTCTTCAGGGGGTCCTGGGAACATCAAGATTTCTTACATTCAGCAAAAATAAATAACCAATACTGAGGATCATGAGTCCAGAGTTCTCTCCCCACCTGTCTCCACTGCTGCGTGGCTGTCGATGATGACTTTGAAAAGGATAGTGCCGATTCTTTCTCTCTGGGATAGAATTTGAAGATCACAATACCTACCAAGAGGTCTTCACTCAGCCCCCTAAGTCTCTTGGATTTAGAGAGAGCCTTTATTATTTGGAAACATTTGGGAGATCTTTTTTGCTTCTCACTGAGACTAGTGTCTTGTTTCAGGGATAATAGTTACTCATGCCAGGGCAGGGATTTCAGGAGGCAGAGGTGTGCACGGTCTTCTAAGATAGGGTCGATAGCATCATGCTCAATATTTCTTGGACAAAGAAACAGGAAGAGGTGAACTTGTCACTTACAACATTTGTAAGTTATCTTCAGCTGAAAAATATTCCATTCTCTTTTGTTTTGAACAGGAAAATTGTTCTCATAGTTACTATTTAGCATACAACCAGAGGTTGCCTAGAAACTAAATTTGGCATCTGGCTAGTTCCTGAGGATCCATGCCTTTAGGGAATGTTTAGTGGCTGTTAAAACATCTCTGAAGGGATGGTTTTGTCTTGTGAAGCAGTGGGCTGGACCGGGAGCTGGATGAGCCATCGGATGCCACCGAGCACTAATCTTTGCTCTGGTAACGTCCTATCATCCTTGTATATTGCAGCCCTCCTTATGTTCTGAATTTTCTACTTTCTGCCTATATTATACTGATAGCAAGTGGCCAGTTCGCCCAAGGAGATCCAGCTCCTTCCCTGCCAGTCGCTTTCCTTTCTACAAGGTCCCATGATGGGAAAGCTCACAAGGAATTGGACAGAATGTACTGTTCAGTAGCATTAGGAGTGGTAGTTGGTCCAGTGATGAACTCTTAAAGACCATGAGTCTTAATCCGGGGGCCTTGTGGGGCTCCACATAGGCCCCTCTGGCAGGCAGCGTGGTGCAGGCACCCAGAGCAATACGGCGGTGTGCTTGCTGAGCACCTGTGTGTGTCTGCAGAGACCAGCTGTAAGGGAACTGGGAAAAGAGGAGGGCAGGGTGGATGCGAAGCTGAGGGTAGCAACGTTTCTCCTCCGTAGGCACACGGTGCCCCGGGTTTAGGCACACAGGGTTTAGAGCTCTCCGATCTGGGTTTGAATTCTGGCTATTCCACTTCCTCCTATGAAATGCTGGGCATACCATTTAATCTCGCTAACCCTCGGTTTCTGCATCTGTGAGGCAGTCCTGAGATAGGGCAGGGAAATGGAACAAGCTCCATGCCATTTTAAAATCTACTTAGCCTGTGAAAAAGTCCCAGCTTATTCTAACGTAATCTATATGCTGTTCTTCCTTTTCTTCCAGCCCCTTAATCAATGAACTAACTTTGTCATCAGGACAGGAGATGGATGGCCAAAGTGTAAATGAACCTACATGGTTGAAAAATGCCGAGATCCACACCAGCACAGTCACCTAAAAAGCCCTATTCTTAGAACAAAAATTCAAAGGAATTAGGAAGCACCTGTCACATCGTGTCTTATGCTGACCCCTACCCAAAGGCCCTGAAAGCCCCACACCCTAAACCCTCAAGCACACCTCCTCTCTCAGGTCGCCCGCACTCCCGTCTGAGTGTGGCCTGTCTTATATCAAGTACACTTTCTTGTTGCATGAGCCAGTTGCACTTGTCTCTGAAGTCCTCTCCATGATAAAGACAAGAATTCTCCAACCCCCACCTCAGGTGGTAAATGTTTTCGTCACTTCGCTATTTCATGCAGCTTTCTAGTCTGAACACACTCCTTTTCTCTCTCCCTGCTTTATTTCAGACCAGTAGGGAAGTGGAAGTTCTCAGAACATAAACTCACTCCATCCAGTGCTCTGTGGTGTTCACTTTGAGATGGCCTCCAAATCCTGGGGTGGTCAGGGCTTAGTCCCCATGCCGTGCAGATTCAAGCATTGCTGTATGCCAGGTGGCACTGGCTTTAGGAGTTGACAAGGGATTTGCCCAACGCCAAGCAGGAGTTCAGTGAGCTTCCCTTTCCTCCTTCTGTTCTTCCTTGTTCTCTGCTGCCTGCAACTGCTGACATTCGCGTCTACTCTTGCTTTAATGAATTCCTTCCTCGCCAACACTCGTGGGACCTGGTTGAGAATTCTTTCTCATTCAGAGTCAAGAACCCTCCCCCATCTGGGTTGAGGTTCCCCCTTGTGGGCAGGGAGAGACCTCCCCAGGCACAGCTGCCTGACAACAGTACCTACCTTGAGGGGTAATGTGAGTGCATACTGATTGAGTCAACAACATGGTAGATGCCTACGTTTCTCCTTGGCTTGTAGTTAATACCTATGAAGACTAGCTATTTACCATCATAATTGTATCATCATTATTATGTTTGTAATGTAAGATAAAATTTACATAAAAATAGTTCAATGGCTTTTTTAAATTTCCTTCAGAAAGCAGGTAGGGTTAAGGGAAGCTATACTGAATCCAAACTCTAGACAATTTGGCTCTGTTAAGTAAACAAAATAAGAGGTGTGACTCCTGTTTTGCAGAGCAATGGTGAGCTCTTTCCCCTGTATGATAGTTCAAAGAGGTGTATTGCTCCATGAAGTACCACTGTCAGCTGCAGAATCAGAGTACAGCCAGGCACTTGGATTCCAGGAGACTGTCTGCCACTCACATACTGCCTTCTGAATACACCGCTTAGAAGACTTTGGAAAGTGACAGATAAAACAAGGCTGGGGATAATCTGTGAGTGGCCTTTATTGTGCCATTGGAGTTGACTTGGATTACCAAGAGTTGAATGCAGAGTCAGTGTGAGAAGTGGATAACTGGCATGCAAATTTAATCCTGCTTCACAAACCATAAATTCTTATTGGTTTGAGAGAAAACATTAATAGAATATTTAATAGGTTGGTGGGTGCCCTGAAAGTGTTCGATGAAACATTTTAAAACTCGTGAAGTATGTCTATGATTTCAGAATTGAGGATAGAAAAGTTAGACTCTGTTAAACTAGAAGGAAGATTCAAGAGTAGCACAGATTTCAGAGCCAGAGTGCAGGAAGTGAACCGACGTGCCCAGTGTCTTGGAGAAAATATGGTTAGAATAGAACCCAGGCCTTTTGCCCCCTGAATACCACGTTCTCTCTGCTAGTAATCCATAAACTATGCAGTTTAGTGCCAGAGAAATTGGATTGGATTTTCATTTCAGGAATCCGAGTGGAAAATGTCTCTATTTAACTAACTAATAAATAAAAAAGCTTTTAAAACTTTTAGCTTTGGTTTGTAGTCTGATCTATTTTCTGAGTTCCTGTTGCTCATGGCCCCCTTTTGAACAGAAGAGCTGTCTTTTCTTTACACAATCTGTCTGTCTCATTCACAGTACTGTGCTGTATATGCTTGCCTTATCACAGTCCACTGCTGTCATCTCTTCTTAAGGACCATTTAGGACCCTTCTCTTATCCCTGGTAATGTTCCTGGAATAGGGACAGTTGGGACTTTGCTCCCTCTTGATAGCACTTCTGTTCTCCCAGTGATCGAGGGGAACTGGGCTCAGAGTCACTAGAGGTATCAGTTTTCTTACAGCGGTTGGGGACTTCATTTTAAATGCCATACATCTATTCAGACAACACTTCACAGTACAGGACTAAAGATATTGTGACTCTGAACGTGGGGTACAAAATCCCAGATTCTCTTCCTAGGTTCCCTGATTCCTAGTTCCTACTACCTCCTGTAAGTTGTCTGATTTTCCCCATCTTCAGGTTTATCATTTGTATAATGGTGGACAGATTTTTTGCCCTTGTCAGATTCTATGATGTAAAAAAATCAAATCACATGATAGCTGTAAGAATGCTTTGTTATCCCTAAAAAACCATATTAAGTAGATAGGCTGTCCTTACGGGCCAGGGGACATCTCATTCTGCTGTGGCAGTGGTCTTGTTCACCTGCTGGGGGATGGCTGACCGGATGTCCCCCAGTCATCCCCCAGATGTGCTTCCTCTGTTCTCTGCAGGACTTCCTCATGGAAACTTTTATCATGTTTAAAGATCTGATTGGAAAGAATGTCTACGCCAAAGACTGGATGGTCATGAATATGACGCAGAGCAGGTGAGACTGGTCGGGGCAGGGTCCAGGCATGTCCCCCTCAGTACTTGGGTCTGGACGCCAGCCTCTCTCATCTCTGTGCGATGCTGCGAAGTCTCTGCCTCAAATCCTTCATCTGTAAAGTCAGGAGCCCCTGTTTCTGGATCCGAGTTTGTGTGGCCTGTTCTTGCTTTATCCTGGGCGGTGCAGCCACTGTGACCCAGGCTTGTGACTCCAGTCTCGTCTCCACCTTGCCCTTGTGTTGTCAACATCAGCCGCATCACTCTGCCGCTCCGTATGACCTTTGTCTTCTTGACATTCAAGGCCACGGCAGACTGCCCCACATCCCCAGCTTTTCTAGCCTTTTCTCCCACTACTTCCCTATTTATACAACCTGTGTCCCCTGACTGCTGCTGATTCATCTGCAGTTTCTTTCCCACAGTCCCTGGCTGTCACAGTCCCTGGCTCCCGTTCCATAATGTCCTTCTCAAAAGCCATCTCCAAAGGACACATTTCTTACCTAGATCTTTGATTTCTCTTACCTCTTTGTCACCCCCTCATAGACTTTTATACTCCTTGTTGGGCCACGGTTAGATTCATAGGTTGCAAATGGCCCCCACGAGACTGTAAACTTCCTAAGACCTGGAACCATCTCTTTCAAAGACGAAACCTAAGCCAGGGCTTTGCAGTTGCTGATGGACAAGTACTTAATGGAAGTAAAATGAGCTGAATATATATATGATATTAAAACAGTTCCAGAATTTTTTTAAAGAGCTAAAAAAGTAAATCATTATTGTAAGCGTTGACTCTACAAGGTCTTGATACCTGATGAGAAAAACTCTTCCCAACTATGTACAGATCAAAGAAAAAAATTGCATCGGAAACCCTAGACTTTAAAAGAGAAGAATCAGGGTAGAGGGAGAAGAGCCCAGTCTGAGGCTCAGGGGCCTTGGGGGTGTCGACTCAGCTTTAACTTCAGCTGGCCTAGTGGTGATGCCCCTTTGAGGGGCTGTTCTAGAAACTGAGCTTCACTGTCCTGCTCTGCTGTGTTGTTGGTCTCGAAGGGCCTGGCAGATCTTCAGATTATGTTACCAAGTCCAGGTTTGGTTTGCTGTGGTTTCAAAGATGGAAGACTTTCGAAGAGCATAAAGTTGCCTTCTTTATGTGGTATTCCTCCCCCAGGGTTTTTCTCCGTGCTATAAATCAGTTTGCTGAGGTTCTCACAAGATTATTCATGGATCAGAGCAGCTTCGAACTTCAGGTAAGCATGCTGCCCACCTAGGAGCTCCTCAAATTCTCAGCCATGGCAAGAAAACTTGCATTTTGGAAAATATCACTTCACACTTTATCATTTTGAGAAACATTTCCGTGTCTTTTCTCCTTTCCTAAAGCACACAACCGCCATCTCTCTGTCCTCCAAACACAATAAAACAGGGTTTTTTTCTTCTTTCTATATAAGTAACACAGGTGAAAGAAGGTAAAAAAATAGAACCAAGCACAATGAAGAAAACTGAAAGAGTCCTACCTTCCGCTGTTAACATAACACAAATACACAGGTACACAGGTGTTTGCAGACAGACACGCAGATGTTCTCTTACCTACCGGTGGTTGTTTCTACAGAGGAGCCCATATACACACTTGTTTGAAAGTTGAAAGGGACAGCAGACAGGTGGCCACTAGCTCCCCGTCACTCACACGTTCATCCACCCAGTGCACAGGCCCCGTATATTGTAGGCCCTGGGGAAGCAGACAAGCTCCCTGTTCTCACGGAGCTTACGTTCAGGTTCCTTTGGTTGATGGTGCGCTTTAGCTGTGTGTGAGTGCCTTTGTTTATGTCTGTGGAACCTTAAAAGTGGAGAGCCGTAAGCGGAGGGGCTCATCTGTACACAGACACGTACATGTGTACATGTGCCTGTGTGCCAAAATGGGGGATTGTGCTGTGCGGTTGTTTGTTAACCTGTTAATCAACTTTATTTCCTTTTTCTATAGTCCTTTCAATGACACTGAATATTTTCACAATATTTTTAATGGCTGAATATAGTCCATCGTGTGGCTGGGCCATGATTTATTTAGCCAAATCCTTCTCATGGACATTCAGATGGTTTCCATGTTCTGTTGTGTTCAATAGCATTGTGGGGCCTACCTTGTTTTAAATATCTTTAAATACCCATGATTATTTTGCCAGGATGAAATCCTAAAGTGTTTACTAATTCAGAAGTTTGGCAGAATTTTAGGGCTTTTAATCCGTATCACCAAACTACTTACAATAAATAGGCCCACTTCTTGGCAACAGTTTTCTTTTGTCCCTGGAGTAAAGACAAATAAAATGATTTGGATTAAAAAAAAAAGTTTAATACTAAGTATTTAAACCTTCATAGCTGAGTAATTGAAACACAAGAAAGAAAAGGAAGTCTTTTGTATAATCATTGTGATTGTAATGTAAGATAAAATTAACATAAAAATAGTTCAGTGACTTTGGCAAGTGAATGTCTACCATGTGGCAGTGTTTAACTCTCACCCTTCTTGATGTTATTTTCCATTCTCATCACACAATTTCTAACAGCTCTGGAACAATTATTTCCATTTGGCCGTAGCATTTCTAACCCACGAATCTCTACAGCTTGAAACCTTCTCGCAAGCCAAGCGCAACAAAATTATGAAGAAGTAAGTGTACTTTTAAACTAGTTTATTTACGATTGGGAAGGTGATTCTTGCATCTCTATTCAGAGCGGGATTTGGGGTATCGCAGAAATTACAGTTCAGTAGCTATCGATGTTGTTAGTGAGATCAGTCTGAAGATAATCATTTAGTAGACCTGAGATTTCCCCAGATCCACATTCTTTTCTCCAGGCGCCATTCATTTTCCCACCAACCACTACACTCTTACAAAATCTGCGCATGGGAGGCCCAGAGGCCAGTCAGCACTCTCCCCTCTCCTGGATCAGCTGCCCATCTGCTGGCAGCTTGTCCAGCATGGGGCGTCCTTCCAGCGCATGCTTCACAGAGCAGCCCTCCTGTGGCAACGCTGGGCTACCTCCCAGTCACATCCATGGAGAAGCCAAGACTAACACATCACCTAAAAATGTCCTCCAGATTCCTGGCTCAGATTCAGAGTGGAGTCACATGCGAGAGCGATGAGCGATGGAGGGAGCCTTTCGCTGCTTTCATCTCAGGCCTGTTTCGGAGTTCACGGAGCTCCTGGAAACTTAAAGCCTGTGTAGTTAAAAAGAACCTGAGAAACTGATTATTGAGAAGCTGTGGAATTTTATTTCTGTTCCCTTGCTGGAATGTCTGAGATTCTAGGCAAATTATTTAGTATCCCTCTACCCCTGGTTCTTCCCTAGAACAGAGACTGTGACTAAGAGACTGAGATTTAGTGTCCGTGCTTTCAAAGGTAAAGGTAAAACCTGTTTTGTGGGTTTCCCTGTGGGATGGTTATCAGGAGAAATTTGATTGTTTAGAAAGATACCTTAATCTCATTCTTTAAAATATCTTAAATGGCATAATTTCTTTCAAGGATGGATTTGATTTTGGTTAAACAACCATTAGCGAAGTTAGTTGACATATTTATCCTGATAAATAAAGGCTAAATAAATAAAGGCTAATGAGGATTAATGATTCTGATTTGGGCAAAGGAAAGTATATAATCATGTATATATACATGTGCATATGGGCAGATAAGCCTTAGGAAATTTAAAAAATATATTAACGTTATACAAATGCGTAAGAATTCTTTTCAAGATTTCTCTTACTTTTAGGAGAAGTAGCATCAGCAATAGAATTATTAAACAATAGAAGTACTTGCCATTTATTGCCCATCTCGTGGCTATTATATCTATTATGTGTCTATTGACTGCATATGCTTATTTAATATTATTAATAGAATTACATTAGGTATTTTTAAAAAATGGACTTGAAAGATTAATTCTTAAGTATGGTATTTATGTTGGTTTTTGAAGCCACTTGCAAAGGAGAAATGTGGAAAAATATGTTCGGTGCAATGGTAGCTTGAGTAGAAACTGTAGAACCGTGGTTGTAGGAAGGGTCACAGGGGCATATTAGAGTTCCCTGGGAACCTTGCAATATCTACTCCTGACCCGCTCTGTTTCCACCCTTCTAAGCCCCACTCTGAAATGGCATGTGGTGTGGGTTGCCCAGCCATACATATTCTTTAAGAGATTACCAGGTGATGGATTCACCTCCATCCAAGAATCCTGGTCTAAATCAATGTTTCTTTACCTTTTTTCATTATTGACTTCCATAAGGAAACTTTGTAGTTATTTTTCTAACCATAATCCCCCCATGAAGTATTAATCGCACAAATATACTGTATACCTAACCTGTTTATGTACTAGATCTGTACATAATATGTAAAAACAATAAGCTTTTGGCCCCCAGGGAACAGTGTCACCCCCATTGAACAGATAGGTGTAGAGCTTTCCAATGTCCGTATTTTGAAGAACATCCTGGTGTGGAAATGTCTTACTCAGATGTAAACACAGAAAGCATGTTTGTCAGACATCAGTCACATTCCTATAGATCTAACCCCTCAAATATCTCCCTTTTCATTAGTGTTTGTTGTGCTGTTTTGTGTCCGTGCAGAGGACCAGCCAGAGCATTTCTCTCTCTTCTCTCTTCAGGAAGATGGCCGATCTCCCCATCTCAGTGATTTTTTTGGTATCTGCCTTTGGCCCTTGTCCTGCTGTTAAAAGTCCCCTCTCTGTGTGGCTCAGCTCACTTTGGGGGCTTATTTAGGGATCAAGCACATCTCTCAAAGTGATATGCCCCATTCCTGCCCTAATGTGACCTAGAAGAACACAGGCTCTTTTTGTTCCCTTCACCATTTTATTATTATATGTGCTCATTTCCACTGCAAATCTTTCTCTTGGTTTACAATCTTCTTCCTAGATATGGGGACATGAGAAAGGAACTCGGCTTCCGAATCCGGGACATGTGGTATAACCTGGGTGAGTGTATGATCTTGAACAGGCCCCATGCAGAACCACCATGTGGCAAGCATTACACGATGACTTGCTTTCGCTCATTCCAATCACCCCAAGATTAATTTGTCTGTGTGTCTGGAAGTGGAAGCTAACTAGTGGGTCTCTTTTGACACCCACATGTTACCAGAATACAGTCATAGTCACTTATTTCTGTATTGAATTGATTTAGCCACCTAAATGTTTTCTTTTCTAATGGCCATATGGAGAAGACTGTGACGCTTTGCTTCCAGGGAAATTATTTTGTAATATCCTCACTCACTTTCATTTCAGGTCCCCACAAAATCAAATTCATCCCATCCATGGTGGGCCCCATTCTGGAGGTCACACTGACCCCCGAAGTAGAACTCCGGAAAGCCACCATCCCCATTTTCTTTGATATGATGCAGTGTGAGTTCAATTTCAGTGGAAATGGCAATTTCCATATGGTAAGAAGTGGTAGACCTGTAATCTCAGTAATGCACATAGAATCAGCTCTTACTTATTTTCTTTCTGTAGAGAGAAGCAATACACCTGAGCTATACAAATCAAAACTCAGCTAAAAACTTTCTTACTTTAAATTTTTGTAAAGCAATTAGAGATAGACTCAGATATTCCCACCGACGGCCTAGTAAGTGACCTTTTTGCTACATGTCTCCTAAAGCAGCTTTCTGTCTCTGGGTAGTTAAGATCTGACGTCCTGCATTTTGATCCCACTTGCTGTAATACCACAGAAAGAATAATGCAGTGGCTTCGGGGAATGATGCAGGGGTCTCTAGTTTTGAGGCCAGTGTGCATGATACGTCTTTTCTCTGCCTCGTTCTCCTTATCTATAAAGTATATAGGTATCGGAAGGAAGATTTTGCAGCTATGAAGCTCTGCAAAAGCACATCCCACTGCCAAGGCTTAGATAAGATACAAAAATAAAATAGAAAATAGATTATCAAGCTGTTCTCATATGCATAGTCAAAACAGGCAAATTATATTTTCGGTTAACTATATTCTGCAAATGTGAAGCCAAAGGATAGAGTAACTAAATCACACGTCTGGTTTAGAAAGCTTTGAGAGGGCCCTTGTGCGTGATCCCTGAGTGACGTGGAGTGCGATCTTCCCCTATGTGTGTGGGAAACAGTTCGCAGTCCCACAAAGGGATTGGCCAAGTCTAGGAAGGTCGGCTGGGTGTCCTTCACGGCGTCTTCTAAGGACATGGCATTCTCCTGTGAAATTCTCACTCTGCTTTCAGTTTGAGAACGAATTGATCACAAAGCTGGACCAGGAGGTAGAAGGGGGTAGAGGAGATGAACAATACAAGGTCCTTCTGGAAAAACTGTGAGTATTTCAGAAACAAAACCTTAAGCTGACTGCATATATGGTGATGGAGAAAAGCAGCCTTCTGCTGCACTTCCAACCGAGCAGCCCCAGAATCACGGGGTGCCCACCACAAATGGTTCTCAGTGGACTTAACAGGTCTACGCTGTCCGCTGCTGACATTTGTTTACCTGATGGGAGTCAAATGTCTGTGTTTAACTGACCAGCCCAGCCCTCAATAGCAGAGCACATGGAGGAGAGGGGGTGATGTGCGGAGCAGTGGCATTTTGCCTGGTGTTTAAATTGCTGAACTTCAACAAAAGTGCCTGCACCTCTAAGTATTGGCTTCAAAGCAACAGTTTAAAGCAGAAGGGGAAAAACACTTAAAGGTCCACTTTACATTTAAAAATACCTTATGCCCTGTAAAGGCCCCTAAGATAATGTCATCTGTATCTCCAGCCAGCCTGTCTTTTCGCTTCCCTCCTCCATCCCACACCCCTCTGCCATTTTCTGTTCCTCTCTATGGGCACTACTCCCCCCTCACGCCCCCCACAGACCTCACCCATCCCCGTCTTGCCCTCTTAATTCTCCTGTGCACATACGGAATTAAGATACAGAAAGATTCGGTCTAAAATACAGAACACTTGGATGTTGTAGTGTTGGTTGGGTTATGTGCCCAGGTTGTTTTGTCATTCACCTGCTACATGGGTGGTTGCTGGGGTACAGGGACTCCCCAGCTTTTTTCTTTTTCTACAGATTTTGCTTTTTTTTAAAGAAGCAAGCATACTGGGTGTTCAGAAAGGAACTGAATGGATGACTCAGCTGTATTTTAAAGAACCAATGGGTGATAAGACTGTTGATTTTTTTTTTTAATCCTGTTTCAGTTAGGTCTGCCTGTTTGAGCTTCAAGCGTCCCAGTTGATCCCTTTTGCAGTTCTGATCTCATGCAGGAATTGAATGGAGAAATTACACACGCATGGGCACACACACTATTTACAAATGATAAACCACTCATTAAAATAAAATCCTACAGCTGATTTTTCACATAAAGATATTATTTTGTGTTCTTCAGTTTTTTTGCTCTGGATCACTAACAAAAAAATCTGACTGCACAAGGCCCCGGTGCCTGGGAATAGTCCTAGAGTCTGTACTAAGATTAGGCTTGGACCCATGTCTTTCTCTTTTTCTCTCTTATCCTTTGAGGACCCTTTCAGTTGTTCGATCTAAAAAACTTTGCTCTGTTTGGGTCCAAAAGGAGAAGATTTAAACCAAAAGTCTGTCTACTTATTTGCAACTCTGCATCTTTTTTTTGTTTTTAAAAAACTCTTTTGTCTGAATGAGTCACATGTCTACATTCCTAGGTTCCTCTAGGCTGGACTGCCATCCAGGGCTTTCCAGATGCCCACAGGATGCCCTGAGGTGCTAGGCATTAGGAACAGTCAAAACATAGAAAAGGTGGCCTCTTTCGGCTTGAGTAGAGTGATCAGATAGCAGGGAAAAGTTCTTGTTTTTGGTACTGACAAAAATAAAAAACATACAAATAAAAGTTTGGAGGGCAGTGTGGGCTGGGGTTCTAGGTGATGGGGGCCCTGAGCCACAGCCCTAAATAAGAGGCGGAATGTGAGTCACAGGGCAGCCTCAGTGAGGGCCCCCCGGGGGTGGGGTGGGGTGTTACCTGGAGGGTGTGCGTCTCTTAGTGTAGCGCCACCTGCTGCCAGGACCGTGGACAGTGCTCCTAAATGGTGCTGGAATGACAGTATGGGACATGGGCATTGTCTCTACGCCTACCCTCCAGGCTCCTAGAACATTGCCGGAAACATAAATACCTGGCCAGCTCTGGAGAAGTATTTGCCCTCCTGGTCAGCAGCCTTTTGGAGAATCTTTTGGACTACAGGACCATCATGCATGACGAGAGCAAGGAAAACCGCATGAGCTGTACCGTTAATGTACTGGTATGTGCCAAGCCCCTGGGATGGCAAGAGGGCATGGCCAGGCCTCCCCTGCAACCCGCAGCTCCACTCTGAGAAGGTGTCGTAGACAGAGGCATTTAGTCCATGAAATCCTCATGGTGGTGGAACTCTGGTCCTGCCTTTCCCTAGACATGTATAACTGGGACCACAGGCCTCAGAGGTTTAGGCTGCCATGCATTCCTCTGCTCAGTGTAAATCAAGCACCTATCACTCCTGACTCCCTGAGAAGACAGTGTCAGGTGACTTGAGAATGAGCCAGTTAGCTGTTCACTTGGAAGGCTTCCCTCACGTCGGTCACAAGCACAGTCCTAAAAAAATCCTTCAACTTAACATTCTTTGCAATGTATCACTTTCTTTGTTGAGGCTACTTGTTAAAGAAAAAGAATGAGCTCTTTGGAAAAGTGACAGTATTGAAAAGCAAAGTAGTGGCTCTGGCCACTTTCATGGCCAGCTCGTCAATAACCTTCGATTTACATTGGTATTTTGTAACTCTTTTTATTGTAGAATTTTTATAAAGAAAAGAAGAGAGAGGACATATACATAAGGTAAGCTGAGGGAAGCTTCTGCTCTTGCTATTTATGCAGTGGCTTTATTGTTTATTTCTTTGATAAATAAAGGCTGAGCCCCAACACCATGCCTGCTGCTTTGAGAGACACCAGAAAGTATGGGCTATGTCCCCTTCCCTCTGAAAGGGAAAACTGTTGAAACAAATACATAGATACGCACAGTCAGAGGGGGTTCCTAGGGTGGCTCGGGTTAGGACCCAATTCCAGGGAAGGACAGAAGCTCTGCCCTGGGCGATCAGGAAGGGATGCTCAGAGGAGGCACGAAAATTCACCTTGTGTCAAGGACTGTGAGCCTGGGGTCCATGAAAACTCGGACGTAAACTATATGCATTTTCTTGGAGGGAGATTCCATAGTTATTACTAGCTTCCCAAAGAGGCCCATGACATTAAAAAATAATTAAGCACCCCTGCCTTAAACTCACAGTACCAAAGTAGGGCTGACAGAATAGGATAGACACACAGGTAGAGAGCAGCATAAAGAGCTAAAGGGATAGGAAGTAAGAAGGAATGGATCCCTATGCCTAAGAGGAGGAAGGGCAGGGAAGATGGGGGAGCAGGCGGTGGCCTGGTTGTGGAATGAGTTGCATGCTAGAGCCACTGCTGAGTGGCACATGCCTCCTCACCCCACTTCTTACCAGATACTTGTACAAGCTGCGGGATCTGCATCGGGACTGTGAGAACTACACAGAAGCTGCCTACACGCTGCTCTTACATGCTGAGCTTCTGCAGGTCAGTGCTTAGGGTGGAGGACAAAGCGCCATGTATCAGCCGTCTGACCCGTTGGGACCAAATCCTGTACACTTCATGATTTTGATAGGAATGATCCTTATTCAAGGGGGACCGATTATCCAAGAATAATTTTATGCCTTCTAAATAGGCGCAGCTAGTTTTCAGATCAAGGTTCAGGAAATGTCAGTTATCGTTTATTTAAAAATCTTTAGGAAGCAGAGCGCAACTTACAGGCCCCTGGCAATGGACACAAATTGTAGAAACAAAACACATCAGTTAATATATGTAAAAAAATCTGTAAAACTGCAGCAAAATGAGTGGTGAATGAATATAGCACCATAGAAGTACTTTGCTATTTACACTGTTGCACTAAGTAAAATTACAGTGTGCCATGGATACCAATACACCTAACATCGTGGGTCCCAAATAATTATTTCTAGCTCTGCCACTCCTTCAACTTTAGATTCATGTATAAAGTGTTCTTTCAACATCAGTCTTGGAGTGACTAATAGACAGCTCAACACTTAACATGATGGTAGCAGAAGCTCTCATTTCCCACTGCTGTCCTCTTGATCCATTCCTGCCTCTCCTTTCTCCCCATTTCCCTAAAGGGCACGACCATCTACCCAGGTGCCCAGGCAGGTACCTTTTGTTCACCCCTCCCCCATTCTTCATGAACAAGAGTCCTGGACCTTCTGTGCAAAACTTGCCTTTAACCTATCCACTTTTCTTTTTTTCTTAATTGAGATATAACTGGCGTGTACAACATTGTACATTTAAGATGCACACATGTTAATTTGATACATGTATATATTGCAATACAATTACCACTGTAACATTAGCTGACATTTCTATCATGCCACATAATTATCATCTCTTTTTTGTGGTGGGGACAATTAAGATCTAGTCTCTTAAGATCCTTGAAGTGTATAATTCAGTATTGTTGTCCACAATCACTATGCTGTGCATTTAGATCTCAAGGACTTATCTACTGGCTACAGGTTTATGCCCTTAAACATCTGCCCAGTTCCCCCAGCCCCAGCCCTTGGTAACCACCAGTCCACTGTCATTGTTTTTATGAGTTAGGTTCCATGCATAAGTGATATCAATATACTACTTGTCTTTCTCTGGCTCATGTCACTTAGCATGATGCCGTCATCATAAATGGCAGGATTTCCTTCTTTCTCATGGTCAAAGAATATTCCATTGCACTATATATACCATAGCTCCTTTCTCCATGTGTTGGCTGACAGGCACTTAGGTTGTCCCATGTCTTGGCTATTGTGAATAATGCTGCAGTGAACTGGGAGGTGCAGAGAGCTCTTCAACATTCTGTTTTCTTTTTCTTTTTTCCTCTACCCTTCTTTCTTGCTCCCCTTTGCTGCCCTCCTGGTCCACCCTACCATAGTCTCTCCCTTCGAGCACTACAAGAGCCTCCTGTTACACCTCCCCGCCTCTGTTCTTGCTCTTCTTATTAGTATAACTTAGTTTTTATTTTATTCTAAAATAAACCATGTACATTGTTCTCAGGTTTGTAGGTAAGCGCAGGAGGAGGGGTCCGCTGCCTCGCCACATTCCCAAGGCAGCCGTCCACAATTCATATTCAAGATCAGGGCACTAAAAAGCTTATTGTGAGTGGATTACTGGGGAGGGCTTGTTGACTGTGGGATGATCAGAAAGAAATCCTGGTGTCAGTGACTGAAGCCCTTTTCATTTCTGCTGCTCAGAAAATTAAACTCTATCCTGGCTTGGGTAAAGTGTGAGGTATGGGTGCCACTTTTTAAATAGGGGTGCTATTTATTAAGTGTAGTCCATATTTCCTCATTGGCATGAGATCCCATCTTTGTCAGGTGCCAAGCCCCTATCTGGGGGAGTCTGTGTCTAGGTTTTATGTACTTTTGCATAGGTCCTGTGTCTCCAGGCCACTGTCGTGTGCCAGTGCCTTGCTGTTTCAGTGATGAGTACTTCATAGTATGTTTTATTACCTGATAGTATTCTTCATTGCTCTAATGAGTTTTCCACCCTATTCCTTCCAGTTTATTTTTCCATATGGGCTTTGGAATCATGAAATTTAAAAATTTAGGGAGAATTTCCATGTTTATGAAATAGCATTTTCTTATCCAAAACATGGTATGGCTTTCCAGTTATTCAAGTCAGCTTCTGTGCCCTTCAATGGCATGTTAAAATTTTTTGTATAGAAGTCTTACATATTCCTTGTTAGGATGATTCCTGGATATCTTTTCTTTTTAACTTAATTATGGCAAAGTACACATAGTGTAAAATTTAGCATCTTCATCATTTTTAAGTCTACCGTGAGTGGCATTAACTACATTCACATTGCTGTGCCCAGATATCTTATCATTTCGGATATATTCTTGTTGGGGGACTTTTCTCCTGTTATCTTCCATGTGGCTGCATGTATTGATATGAAGTCTCTCTCTACATGATTTCTGAAACTTGTTAGTTTTTATCCCACGACTTAACTTGCTCCTCTCATTGTGGTAGTTTGTAGCTTTCAGGTGGGCACTTTGTGAGGTGAAAGAATGGTAAAATGGTAAAAGAACACAGCGACTGCACAGAGTGGTAGTGTTACGCCCTCCCCTTTACATTTTTGTGCTTCTGATTTCTTTCTTTTACCTGATTGTGTGAATCACACCGTCAGTACCACAGCCGTCGTGCTGGTGAGCAACTTCCCTTTCTTCCTGACTTCCGTGGGAAATGCCTCTCGTGTTTGTCCTCTCAGCCTGACACTTGTTTTGAGGCTGGCATGCGTAGGCATGTGTTTATGCAACTTTTGGGTTTAATACATAATCCAAACTATAATATAGATGAGTCAAAGATATATACAATTATTTCCGGGATTTTTTTGGGGGGGCTGAGTATTTGTTACATGAATCTCCTTTAGTTCATTCATTTAATGACTTGGTATGTTACATTCACCTATTTTGTTGCCTTTGTTTATTTTTCAGTGGTCTGACAAGCCCTGTGTACCCCATTTGCTTCAGAGGGACATAGACAGCTACTATGTCTATACCCAGCAAGAGCTTAAAGAGAAGCTGTACCAAGAAATCATATCATATTTTGACAAAGGCAAAGTGAGTGTTGGATTGTTGGGTTCGGGATTAGGAGGAAGAGGGAAGGGGCTGCAGTCCTGAGGTGCAGCCCTGCAGAGTGAGCACAGACTTACCTGGGGTTCAGGACACAGTGCCCAATAAGACCGCCCTCACTTCAGATGCCAGTGGCAAGGTCAGGGGTCCCCAGGCCACCCACACTTATGAGCAAGGACTGTAATTTGGGTGTGGGATCCTATGACCGCCCCCTAGTGTTGACAGTATGCCAGAACAGTTTACAAAACTTGGTAAAATGCTGTACTTAAGACTGTAGGTTTATCTTAAAGGATACAAGTCAGGACCAGCCAAGTGAAGAAACGCAGGGGGCAAGGTCTGGGAGGGTCCCACATGCAAGGCTTCCGTGTCCTCTTCCTGTGGATTCAGGGCACGTCACCCTCCCAGCAAACTGACGTGTTCACCAGCCAGGAAGCTCACCTGAGCCTGGGTGGGCAGAGTTGTTATTGGGGTTTCATTCTGAAGGCTTGACTGATTGAATCGTGGACCACGTGCGTGAGCTCAGCCCCCAGCCTCCACTCCTCCTGCCTGGGGGCCCGGCTGATATCTAGTAGCTCAGAGCCCCAGCCCTCTGATCACACGGTGATGGTTCTGGCAAAGCCAGCTCCCACTCTGAGGCTATCTGGGGGCGCACATGAGCTTAGGCCTGGTCTGAGGGGTCCACTGTGATTGACAGTCTTTCCTATCACTAGGCAATTCCAAGGGTTTGGAAGCTCCCTCCCAGGAACTCAGGACAAAGATCGGATGAATTCTTCATTATACAACAATGACTCCTGACCTATTCTTTATTATTCCCATGTGTACCTTTGAATCTAAGAAAGGCATTAAAGATCAGTTATCTTGCAGAGACACTTAACCCAGTGGAGAATACAATGGGCAGCCCACAGCCCCACTTCCCATCACCATCATTTTGCCTTTTAAATATTGCTGAGGGCCAGGAGCTAGTCGTTTTCAGTGCTTTTTCTAGAGATTCTTGGCAAACACCTGCTGCACATCCCATACCCAGGTCATTACCTGCCTGACACCATAGGCTGTAGGTAGGAGGCAACTCACATGCCTCCAGGGCTGAGAGGGCAAATGAACATGGGAACTGGGCCAGGAGGCTGTGGAGTTTGTGGTCAACTGCAGGAAGCATATCCAGCTGAAAGGCTTTCAAATTTAAAATGGAAAAAAAAATACAGAAGGAATAGGGGAGAAAGGAAAAAAACAAATGAAATGGATCCTATTTGACTCATTTAAGAAGCCTGGATGGTACCTGCAGACAGCCACTTCCAGCCACCATCCCCATTTCATCAGTGGAACCTGTCGGTTAAATAAATAAACAAGCCAAATTATCACTGTGAGAAAGTAGCTACCACCTCTTTAGTTCTAGTTACTGTTTGGGGTGAGATCCAGACTTTTTTTCTAATTTTCTTCTCCCAGTAGCCCTATTAGGTTGATAATGTCTCTGGAAGCCCAGAGCAGAAGTTTATTTGCTCAAATGTTTTGGTTTCTATACCACTTTACTGTCTTAAAAATTACAGAGGGCCCCAAGGACCATTTGTCTACATGCATTTTACCTATGGATACTTACCTCTTAGAAAGAAAAATTCTTAATTTTTTACTTGTTAACAACAGTAAAAAACCTATTACCTGTTAATGTAAATCAATACATATTTATGAAAATCACTATGTTTTCAAAAAAATAGTGAGGTAAGTGGCATCATTCATCATTTTCGTAAATATCTAACATCTGGCACAATAGAAGACAGCTGGATTCTCCTGTCTGCTTCTGCACTTGGTCTGTTGTGACGTCACACTTCCTGTAGCCTCTGGGACTCTCCACGGTATACTCATGAGAAAATGAGCATTTTAAAAATGCAAATAATATTAATAGTATTAGGAAGATAGTTTTGATCTCATGGACTCCCCTGAAAGGGCCTTGGGGACTCCCAGAGACCAGGGACCAGACTGAGAAGCGCTGTGCTAGGCCATCTCTCTCTCTCTCTAACATAACTTAGCATTTGGTGAAATGAGTCGAGGACTCCACCCATGGATGCTGCTGGCCTCCTGCCCCAGGACCGGCTGATCTGTAATGGTTTCCATCGGGCACATTTCAGAGCCTTTTTAGTGAAATTTCAGAGGAGGAACCTTTGGCAACAATGATATTAAAAGACTTCATTTTAAACTGCTTTACAACTGTGTGTAAACTGCAGCAGCAGAAAAAAGGGGACATAGCACCTGCTTAACAAGAACGCAGTAAGAAATTTGCACCTAAGATATGTTTTACGAAATACCAGAATGAAGGAGGGCTCCATCTGTATGCTGATCTCAGATACCAGATGTGTGCATTAGGCTGTACCTGACATGGTCGTACGTGCTCTAGGGTGTTTTCCTAGAACTTTTTTTGACTAAGTAGATAGTTTGGCTAAAAACTGAAATCAGGGCCCTAAATTGAAAAAACAGTTTCTCGATTTCCACATAACCCTTAGCCTTTCTTCCATTGCCCCTAAACCCCAAACAAGCTAACTCAAAACACGCCCACACAGGCACACAGCACACCCCCCACCCCCGGAACCAGAACTAGAGCCCGCACCAACTTCCCTTTCACGCGGTCCAGACCTAGACTTCAGAACTGGTTCCCCACACTTGTGATGGTCTTTAGCCCTTTGTCTTTTAAATTCAGTATTGCTTTGCTTGCAGACACGCATTGTGCTCCGTGTTCCTGCAAATAGAATTACAGAAGATGCCCCTGGCAGAGCAGCCAAGATACAGCAGCTTTACCACGAAGAAAAACTGAGTTCATGCAAGAGCTGAGACACGTCGCGACTATCCACAGACACTCACCCCACCTGACTCCTTAGGCATTGCCAGTGACTTTCAAATGCTTCTTGCAGCTGGATCGGCAACTGTTTTGTTTGCCACTTGTAACCCTGCTTTTCTGTTTTGCAGATGTGGGAGAAGGCAATCAAACTGAGCAAAGAGTTGGCTGAGACTTACGAGAGCAAAGTGTTTGACTACGAGGGCCTCGGCGGTCTCCTGGTGAGTGTGGGTCGGACCATGTCAAGCCTCCAGTCAGGGCGCTACAGGTCGCGTTCATGAAACTGTTACAGTGGAAAAGTACATCTGCCTTGAAAAAAAAAATGAAAAAAGGGGAGGTTCAAAAGCTGTTACAATGATTTCTCCAGATCATCCTTGATAGAGGGCTCATGGTCCCTGTCTACAGTCCTTTCTTTCTCTGGTTCCTCCATCCCCCTGGCCCGGCTCCCCTTTACTCTCTCAGTTACTCTGTCTTCTGCGAATGCCTTCCATATTTCTGGTGTTTTCTGACATCCTCTGCTCATCAACATACTTGTTCCTGGTCCACCCTCAGGGCCTTCCTGAATGAATGAGAGACCAGTCTTTGAGCCTGGCTTCATTTCATGCCATTGTGCATGATTTGCTGAGCTGTAAAGGGCCTCTGCCAGATCTGATCCACATTTTGCCTCCTCCGTCTCTCCAGTGTCACTGGAGGGTCCTACCGCTGTAGTCCCCTGAACCTGTGTATTAATGCCGGGCTTTTGGTGCAGGTCAGCTGTTTAAAAACAATAAAGCAAAACAAAAACAGCCTTCTAAGTGCCCAGTGGCAGATCAGTGCGGTATTACATTGATAATGTTCAGTAGAAGAGTCACAAAAGGCCTGGTCACACTTGCCATGTAACAGTAATTCATTTGAGGAGCTCATTGTCAAAATTACTTGGAAGAGAATCTGCCACATCTAAGGACCAGCTCCTGCTGTCACACTAAAAACACTTCGCATTTCTTAAACTAATTTGAGCTGAGATGTAAGAAACTGAACATGTCACCTTTCTGAAAACAGAGTGGGATATTTCTATCTCACCTAGATACAGTAATAATACAGTCCTGCTGGCCATTGTGGGAGGGGCCTAGGGGTAGCCCCAAAAGCCCCCTGGGTCTGCCTGCCTGTTTTGCTCTCCCTAAGGCTGCCCCCTCTCACCCTGGTCAGGAAACCTCTTCCCACAGGAAGGATTGCAGATGGGGGTGGGTCCCAGACAGTGAAAAGCAGAACGTCACCACCACCTTCTGGGCACTTGGAGCTGCACCGAGGGTGTTCACCCAAACCACCTGTACAAACTGGGAAATTCTTTATCGTCTCCCATTTGTCTCTGTTTAAGTGCGGCCACCCTCCATGAATCTCAGAAGGTGCTCTTGACCTTTGAGGGGTCCTGAGCACCCTTCAAGAACTAGTCACAGCCAAGCACCGCCTGTGTCCACAGGAGAATGCACACATGTGTGTTTTTCTGCTTACAACTTCAGAGATTCCCAGACCCTCCAAGGTCCACTCGTGGACCCAGGCCCCAAACCTGTGACCCAAGAAAAGGAAAGGTCTTTGGCCCACAAGATATTTTCCGAATACCTTTCATTTCTCTGTGTTACATGGGAAACAATAAAGCAAATAATCTAATCTTTTTTTCTTTCCCCAGCGATGCCCTTGTAACCTCCGCATGGAATGTCTTGTTTTGTTTTCCAGAAAAAAAGAGCCTCATTTTATGAGAACATCATTAAGGCGATGAGGCCTCAGCCTGAATACTTTGCTGTTGGGTACTACGGACAAGGCTTTCCTTCTTTCCTACGGGTAAGAAACCCGAGGGTGGTCTCCCAAGCCATTAAGCCTTCGTCTGAGACGGAAGGCATTTCACCTCTTTTCCAGATGGGCCTGGTGGGTTAGCAGCCGAGACCCGTGTTCTCACTGTGGGAGGTCGGGGAGGCAACCACATCCTGAGGGCCCCGTCTTCACCCCACGCCCGGCCACCTCTGGTATTCTGGCAGCTCTTTTGTAAAATGACTTTTCCCAGGTGGAATGAAAAAGGGAAAAACAGAACCATCCCCTCCACTGGTCTGCTGCTGCAGGTCACGTGGGGAGAAGTGTGGAGTGACGTATGTGGTTGTTTATTTTATTTCCAACCAGAGCTAGTTTGAAAGCATATATCCCAAGGACAAGAATGCAGAAGTTTCACAAAACTAAAAACAGATTTGTGGGAGTGATAAGGACTAGGTTCTTCCTCCTTGTCAACATTTTCTCTAACATGATACTGATTTTACAATCTTAAAAAGCAGACAAAAAAATCTCTAATTTTTGTCCCACAAATAAAGAAGCCTCTTTTAGTGCTGAGCTATGTTTAAATATGTATTCTCTACCTTCTTTTTCTTAAAAAAAAAAAAGATTGGGAAAGGAGAGTACTTTACATTCTTAATTGTGCCTAATGAGGTCATTCACTCATTCATTCATTCAATAACTATTTATTGAGTGCCTACTGTGTGCTAGGCACATGCTAGGGATTAGACACACAGTGCTGATTATAATAAAATACGGTCCTTAATGCTCATGGATTTTTCAACGCAATGGGTGAAATGTTGATTAACTAATCACACAAAAAAATGTAAAATTGAAACTGGCAAGTTTTTTAATTCTATATTGTAAGAGTTAGTTAACCAGGGAGTATTTACTCAAGTGAAATAAAAACCTATGTTCACATAAAAATTGTGCATGATTGTTTATAGCACCATTATTCATAATCACCAAACAGTGGATACAACCCACATGTCCCTCAACTGGTGAAGGGATAAACAAATTGTGGTATAGCCATACAATGAATACTACCCACTAATAACAATGAATAAATTCTTGGTCCATTCAACCATGTGGGTGATTCACAGGTGCATTGTACTAAGTAAAAGAAGAGACTTTACACCTTAAAGTCTCCATACTCGTAATTTTATTTATGTGACCTTCTGGACAACCAACAACTTACAAGAGGGATGGAAGGCAGATCAATGGTTGTCTGGTGGTTGCGGGGGAGGACTGAGCTTCAGAGGTATGGGGAAATTTTTGGTGGTTGGTGATGAAACTGTTCTTTTTTTTTTTTAATCAAGATGCATACAATAAAGTGCACAAATCTTAGTTTTTTTGACATGCACAAATGAATTTTTGACATGTATATACACTTATGTAACCATCACCTAGATCATGACATTAAAAGTTTCTAATTTTTTCCCCTCTTCTCCTATTTCATCCATTCTCTTACCTAGTATTTGATGGTTGAGGAAGAGAGAGGTGTCAGGAGTGATTCAGAGGTTTGTGGGCTGCCTAAGTGGAGGGGCAGAGAAGCCATCCACTAAGATAGCAAGGCTGGAAAAGGACAGAGTCATGGAGGAGAGATTTCATCCACACACCGGATAAATATATTTACTGAATTCTCGCTCTGTGCCTTGGTATAGTAGAAATATGGGGGTCAGGTCCAAAATAAATCAAAATCCTTGGAAGTATAGAACTTACAGCTTTAAGACACAAAATAAAATAATATAAATAAGAAAGTAAAATATTTAGTAGATTAGATGGCCTCATACAGTGTAGACATTCAGTAAATATGATGGAGAAAATGAGTCAGAGAAGGTGAAAAAGAAGCAGGCAGCAGGGTGGTGGTGCAACTTTAAATACAGAGAATAGGAAAGATTTGAGCAAAACCCTGAAAGGAGTGAGGGAATAAACCAAGCGGCTATCAAGAGACAAAACAAGTGAGGGTGTCGGACAGTGACAACAGCAAATTCCAAAGCCATGGCTGGAGAAGCAAGAACAAGAGGGCAAGTAGAGAATGGGGGGCAGAGAGTCGGGGGCACCAGACAGAAGCCTTCATAGGTTTGTCAAAGTTTGGTTTTGGACACACAGCATGTGAGGTAAATTTGGAGCATCCGAAAGTTGGGAGTCAACTATTTTGATACCTGGATATGGAACTCAAAGGAAATTCTAGTCTGGAGATGAACGTTGGTGAGTTATTTATATGTAGTTAAAACTGGCTGTGGCTGAAATGGCCCAGGGAGAGCGAACAAACTAACAGAATAGAGGGTCGGGGCAGAGCCTGAGGTAGGTTCTAGTCTTCAATTTGCCTCAGTCTCGGTCCTCAAGTCATGATAAGATAGTGATGCCCAGCACACTTGTCGTGCGGTTACTGTGTCGCGTGAACTAACAGGTGGGAGCTAGGGGACAGCAATGGTTATGTGGAAACATGAGAACTAGACTTTCAAGTGGAAACATTGGGGTCTAAATCATCTGCTGAGTGACTGTGATTTGGGTTAAATCATGTAACCACCGGGTCTTTGTTTTCCAGCCTGGAAGTTAGAGAAATTATGCCCACCTCGCAGGGCTGTTTTGAGAGTTAAGTAAATAGCATATGGGGGTGCTTTGTAAACTGTAAAGTAGTTTGTCAATGGTATGTGTCATCAAAGTGTACTAAAAAAAATATAAAATCCTTTCAAATGATAAAACCTAAATGTCCTCATAGTATGGACTACGTCCCAAGTGCAAAATACGTCCAAGTATATTATCCTCACTGTGCACCTCGGCCAGGTCTCCTGTTCTGCTCCTGCCACTGGCTGCACTGCTCCCCTCCTCCAAGGCCAGTCATCTCAGAGTCCTCGTCGAGTCCCTGTCCCGTTTGTCCTTCCCCAGACACCAAAGGTCAAACACCAGATCCGGTAGCTTGTCCTCTCCGACTCAGTCCCACCCCAGATTCCTATGGCTGGACGTACAGTCAGTCCACTATCAGGTTAGCTTGTCTACACTACTGCTCTCAAGAGGCTGCCCCTCCTTCCAGAACCTTAAGTGAGTCCCTGGGTCTTCAGAACTTCTGCCTGCCTTTCAAGGCCTTTCGTATTCTGGCTCATCCAAGCTTATGTTTTCCCACTGAATTTTTCCACACTCTCTGCCCCTTCTCCTCACACACCATGCCTCCCCCTTCTCTTTTCCTCTCCTTACCTTACCCATGCATCTAGACACACTCATGTCCACATCTTACTTGAAGCCCTCGCCTCGGCGGTTTCCAGTTGAGCTGGTTCCTGCTGATTTTCTGCTTGTGTGATTCCTTTCACAGTTATTGTTCACATCAACTATTAGTGTTTTCTTATACTCTGATCCCTTGCCCACCAGTTTTGTCTGAGTGATAGAATTTCATGAGGCATGAATTACTCACATAAATCTTTCCCAGCTGAAAGTTTTATCATCTATTCCAAGAGATCTAGCAGTTTTTACTGCCTTCTATGTTCAGGCTAGAAGGCATATTGCCTTGGTATTACCATGCTACCTAAAATGATCATATTTACTCTTTATTTGTTTGCTGTTTCTCTCCACTAGAAGGAAAGTGTTGTGAGAGCAGGGTCATCATTATGCCCTTAGCAGCATGTCTAGCATATCTATTGTTTTCTCAGTACATATTTGTTATATGAATGGACATGTGCTTTTTAAGAACATTGTATATGGTGGAGACTTGATAATAGGGGGAATGTAGTAAGCACAGTGTTGCTCATATGAAACCTGAGCCTAAGATTATATATCCATGATACCTTAATAAAAATTTAAAAAATTTTAAAAAGACGATTGTATAGGAGAGTGTGGACCTAAGTTTTAGTTAAAAATGGATCACGTGTGGGTTGCTGGTGCTAAGTACACATCTGAATGACCATCAAATGAGTAGGATGCTTCAGAATGTGGCTGCATTTGAAATTGCGCAGGCAACAATAACTTTAAGACAAATTACTCCTATGCCTGAGGCCCAAAAACTTCTTTGGGAAAAAAATCCAGTTGTATTAATTATACAAGGAAGTGCGGTCTGGAACAGAGAACATAGTATTTAGTGTAGTTATTCTCTATGAGATTTTGCGTTGCCATCCACAGCGAGTTTTCAGGATTGGCCAGCCTGCTGTGAATTATTCCTGCTCACTATTACTGTATCTGTGTGTTGGCACATGTGTTGAGTTGGGTCTCTTCATACTTGTGTGTTCTCTAAGGCAGTGTTACTCGATGTGCTGGTCCACGAACTGCTCTGGAGCCTGGTCCAATAAGGAGTTTGCCCCTGCATGTAAATGAATGCACGGCCTGCCTTTGCTGAGAATGTCTGGCTCTGAAACAGCATTGCAAATAAACAGCATGCCTGTGACGTCATGGGCCTCCATTAGGACCCAAGGTTCTTCCTTGTGGGTCAGTCTAGACGTTTGCAGACCAGCTGCTCTGTGAGAGGCACTGCACGACGTAGCTTCACGCCTATGACTTAGCGCCCCAGATACCGAGCTCCTGTCTGATGGGATGCTTGCTGAGGGGCACGTAGCAGATATTCACCAAGAATTTGCTGGTGGGTTGCACTTCAGCTGGGGGCACAGGGGTTCCCACAGTACCAGGATCTCCAGCTGGTACTTCTCTCTCTATATTCAATTATTCCCCTTGCTGTCTCTGACCCGCAGAACAAAATCTTCATCTACCGAGGGAAGGAGTATGAGAGGCGAGAAGACTTCAGCCTGAGGTTGCTGACCCAGTTCCCCAGTGCTGAGAAGATGACCAACACCACGCCCCCAGGAGAGGAAATCAAGTCCTCTCCAAAGCAGTGTATCCTGGCCCTGGGGAGGCATAGCCCGGAGGCTTCCAGCCTGGCCAGAGAAGCCAAGGGTTGCGTGCAGTCTCTGCACGCAGATGTGTCCCATCCTCAGACCACTCCTTTCACCATTCTGATTCAGTTTCCCATTCTGCATAAAAGCTCTGGGACCAACGTCCTGTGCTCATGGCCATGAAGTAGTTAAAGGAGAGAGGCGATAAGCAAATCCTGAATATGAAAGGATATATTCTATAGCCAAATGGGGAGCTTGATGAGAGTGCAGACTTCCTGTTTTCAATTCTGGATTCCGAATAAAGAGTTGCAGCTCTTTTTTGCAGTATATAATGACTTAACTGAAAAGTCATGAGACATACTCTTAAAAAAAAAAACACCAAGGGCTCCATAACAATGTTATTTTTATAACTTTCTGTGTTTTGTGCTAAAATAAAGGTGTTGGAGAATGGAACAGCATTCTGAGAGAGGTAGGTAAGGCAAAGCCGGAGTGGCATGGCAGGTACAACTGGCTCTGGATCTGAAGTGGCTGGGTTCACGTCCCAGCTCAGTCACTTCCTCTGTCACTTTGGGCAAGTTACTTAATTTCTCTGTGCCTCAGTTTATCTCCTATAAGATGGAGAAGATCATTCTTGGAGTTCTTGTAAAGACTGAGTAAGTCAATATATATAAAATACTAGGAACAGTGCCTGGCCCATAATAAAAATTCAGTATATATTAGCTATTGTTAGAGATGGGTCAATAGGTATAGAAAGTCAAACAACAATCATGGTGATCAATCAGGAGACCGGCACACTGGTAAGAGTCGTAGTGGGCGGCTGTGAACACATACTGGGTGCTCCCAGGATTTACCCCTGCCTGCTCTGGGTCTGCAAGCCCAGGAAACAGCTTGCTGCGGGAAGGAAAAGAAGTCTTTAGAAGCTGGATTTAGAAACACAAGTCCTGGTGCTTGGCCGTCAGTCAGTCACTCCGCAGAGCCAGCTGACCTGTAGCCCAAGTTGCTTAATGTCTCCAGACCTTGCTTTTCTCATCTGTAAGGTATGAGGGTAAGTCTGTCACCCCCAATGCCTAATAGCCCTTCTGTGAGTGAAAATGCTTTGTAAACTGTAACAGCGTGATGCATGGCCCAGTGGTTCTCAGATTTTGTTACCCACAAGAATCAGCATGGAGAGTTTCTGATTTGGGAGCTGTGAATTCTCTCGTGACTAGTCTCCAGGTGGTTCTGGTGCCGGGGGCTGCAGACCCTGCTTTGAGAAATGCTGGTAGGCCAGTGCTTAAACTCTAGTTTAACTGCTGTAGGTTTTGAAACAGCGCCCTGGTGAGGACCAAACAACTCATTGCTAAGATCAGACCATGAAGTCGGAGAAGGCCTCACCCATGAGCTGGTTTGGAAGCCTGGCTTCACCACTTCCCAGTTGTGTGATCTGCTTTATCTCCGAGCCTCGGATTCTTCATCTGTCAACGGAGATGAATAACATCCACCTGGTAGTTGTGTTTACTGGAAGTAGCGTAACATAGGTCAGTGCTGGGCGAAGGCCCTCCGTAAACAAATGGCTTCCGCAGATGCAAGAAATCCCTCTTGCCTGGGCCCTGGAGCCTGGCTATTTCAGAGAGATGCTTGTCTAAAAGAAATGGTTTGAGCCAATTTCTAATCACCTGTTTCCTGAGACTTCATTGATGTCTCTTTTCCTATGGGAAGGTTGTTTGCCAGGTGTCTAAGAAATGTCCTAGAATTAGGCCTTAAGAAGGCATTTTGGTAATACAGAAAGGAACCCCGTTTCCAGTGCGGTTCTGGCATTTGGTAAAAAGGAAGGGTTAGTGCGGATGCCATTCCCACGTGTCAAGCAGGAGGAACAGGTGGACCTTTCTGCCTGGGACAGCTTCTTGGGCCAGCCCTGTCACCACCAGCCCTTTCTCATTCCTTAACGTGCTGCTCAGACATGCAGTGTTTCACCGTAAAGCCAGTGATGAGCCTGCCGCCCGGCTACAAAGATAAACCCGTTCCGGAGCAGATCTTAAAGTAAGTGGGGACTTCTGTTTGTTTTGTGAAACGTCTGTCTCTTACACTTTATCTAGTACATCAAAACCAAAGCCTTAAATCTGTGACAGTTTGGAAGACCTTCTGTTGTTGTCTCAGTCTGTTGGGGCTCCTATAAGGGACGCCACAGACTGTAACGGGGCTCATAAACAACAGACAGTCACTGCTCGCAGTTCAGGAGGCTAGGAGTCCAAGAGCGAGGTGCCGGGAGACTCCGCGTCTGGCGAAAGTCCGCTTCCTAGTTCATAGATGGCTCTCTTCTTCCTGCTTCCTCATGCTGTAGAAGGGGAGAGAGAGCCCCCCAGGTCTCTATTATAAGGGCATTAATCCCTCCACCCTGAAGACCTGAGCACCACCCAAAGCCCCCCACCTGCTAATGCCATCACGCTGGGGACTAGGATTTCAGGGCTTTGAGGGAAACACAAACAAGGGAAACACAAACATTCAGACCACAGCAATTAGTTATTCCATTTTCAGTAGAAGAGGTTGGTGACTCAAAGGGATTTGGAGGTTTTGTTTTTTAGGCAGAGAGGGAAATAGGGAATTTCACTCTTAGGTTTGGGTCCCCTAGCTCTTACTGCCACCACCGGAAGCATCCACCGAGCAGTATGGCTGTCCTCACATTGCCTGGTGGGTCCCCGAGTAATCAAAAGCCTAATCCCTTCTTCTGAGAAGCTGAAATGTTGGCAGGGCTGCTAGAGTTGTTAAAAACTGTAAATGAGTTCACAAAGATGGACATCAATACATAGATCTTCTTACGTGGTGAGCTGGGAAATAGATTCACAGATAACAACATCAAGATGGGCAATTAAGTCACATTGTGCACCGCCTTCAGCCTGTGCTATGGAGACCAGGTCTGTTTGGCTAAGGCTCAGGCTGCAGAAGACTTGTCCCAGGTTTTGTTCCAAGAGAGAAGCTACAGCGCTGTGGCTCCGTCTCTCCCCAGCTACTACAGAGCCAACGAGGTGCAGCAGTTCAGTTACTCCCGGCCATTCCGGAAGGGTGAAAAGGATCCAGACAATGAGTTTGCCGTGAGTCCACCCTTTTGCCCTCAAGCAAGGTAAAAATCAACATCCAAAAATGCAGGCCTTCCACCTACCCAGCATACAGAGCAGAAGTGACGGCCACACTGGGGATCGAGGTGTCACGGGCCGGTGACCCAGACAGCAGGCCGTCAGCTCAGTGGGAAACAAAACTGCGAGTCCAGAAGCTGGGCTCTGCGCTTGGGCCTGCTTCCCTATAACCTCAAGCGGGGCGCCACTCTGAACCTCAGATTTTGCATTTAGAGGGTGAGATGGCCAAGTGGATGGCCCTGCAGCTTTAAACATGCAAAGTCCTTACAGTCTTTTAGAAAATACAGCCCATTCACCAAGGAGGCATTTGAGAATGGAACCTCAAGGAGTGGAACCAGGGCGTTTTGCTCTTTTGCCTGGGAAATAACCAGCATTTCCTTCTCCCTTCCTTCCTGTTTACCAGACCATGTGGATTGAAAGGACCACGTATACAACTGCATATACCTTTCCTGGGATTCTCAAGTGGTTTGAAGTCAAACAGATTTCAACGGTGAGTCACTTGAAGGAACTCAGAAAAATCTTTCTGTCTCCAGATACATAATAAGGGCCTTTGTCAAATCCCCCCTCTGGTCCTTGCCAGTTTAGCCAGAGTCCTCTGGCCATAACAGCCGTGCTTGTATAATAGAACTCCTTTGTGAAATGAATGTGACAACACCCACCCTGAAGGTCACTCTCAGTGAAAGACTCTTTTATGACCAAATGGGTGTCGTCTCCTCCCCAAGCCCCAACACATTTCTGGGATGCCTCCTTTGAATTTCTTCTCAATTCTTCTCTCCCAGAACATTTCCTCTTTTTTTTTTTCTCAGCTAATCACATCACCAGCCATCCTCGACTTTTCCATCTTCATCACTCCCAAAAACTGACCGGTTTATCTGCTTAGTATTTATGGAATCTGTTTTCTTTATTTCTGCCCCGGTTTCTAGTCCTTCATTCCGCTCTGATTGATGGCCTCTGAAAAAAAACCTCCTATTTGGCCTCCCTTCTCACGTTCGTCTTCCTCACTGCCTCTGAGTGTGAATTCTACAGCAAAACCCCGACCAGGCCATCTCATGCTTAGAACCTTCCATGGCTCCCCAGTACCGCGAGTGTCGAGCCTATACTCCTTAGCATATGCATACAGGGTCTTTGTGACTCAGCTCTTCCACCCCACCTCCTGTGGAATCTACAGAACTGAACTGCTCGTTCCATGTTATTTCAGTGTTGCATGACGCGAGGTTATTCTCTCTGCCCCATTTGCTCTCTCTCTACTTCCCAATCTCATTCCCACTGAGATTCAGTTTAGGTACCATCTTCTCCAGAAGCCATCTCTGAAACTGCCAAGCTGAGTTAGACACCCTTTCTCTGTGACCCGACACAACTTGGGCTTATTTCTAACACGTTCGCTACTGTGCTTACACAACTTAAGACCCCATTACAACCATAAGCTCCTCCCAGCCCTCGGTTATCTTAGTCATTTTTGTAACTATGGTACATAGCGCTGTACTTGGCATAAATACGTGTTGAAGAAATAATGTGTAAACAAACAGGGACTGAAGTTTGACGTGTTCCATGGCTCTGGTGATAAAGCAGTGTTCTGCACGTGGGAACATGATATTTGGACAGAGATATTTGGAATCAAGTCTGTCGTAGGAGGGCATGCTGGCTGTTAATGGGTGAAATGAGGAGGGAGGCGACTTTTCTTAAAGCCTCTTTTGAAGACATTTCCACAGGAGGGGCTGCCTCAGAATATTGCACCTTATTTTGTTTCCATCCAAAGTCAACCCCAGTGTCCTAATACATCCCATTATTTCTGACTTCCATTAACCACAGAACCCATACTAAGGTGACATACATACCTGTGTATGGTCAGAATGTGTGGCTTCCCAAACCACTTACCTTGCTCATGGAGGAAGCGTCAGCCTCTCACCAGTGAACATTCTTGGTGGGGCAGGAGTGTCGTGGATCCAGGATCCTGTTATTCTGTTGTGGCCCTTCTCAGAAATCGGTGAGGGAGCTTTGTCTAAAAAACAGTCGTCATTACAGCTCCAGTTTTTCTCTTCTCAAAATTCCTATAGATGCTTTTCCCCAGGAAGTAATCATTACTGTAGCTCCAATTTTAAGTCATCCTTGCACTTTCCAAAGAGATTTTTAATAAACAGCTTATTTTGCAACTTAAAACCATGTCAAGTAAGTGGGGTGGCCTAATAGCAACCTCGATGAGCAACACTTCCCTTGTCTGTAGCTTGGTGGGAGTTTTCTGCCTTGTGGGGGGATACTTGGGCTTTTGTCATTCTTGGCTGTGGAGTCACGGAGCACCCTTCGCGTGCCACGCTCTGTGTCGCAGGAGGAGATCAGTCCTCTGGAGAACGCCATAGAGACCATGGAGCTCACCAACGAGAGGATCAGCAACTGTGTGCAGCAGCACGCCTGGGACCGGACCCTGTCTGTGCATCCTCTCTCCATGCTGCTCAGTGGCATCGTAGACCCTGCCGTCATGGGGGGCTACTCCAACTACGAAAAGGTGGGCCTTTTCTTGCCGTTCAGTTTAATTAAGTTAAGGTGTCCTTAACTTGCCGTTCAGTTTAATTAAGTGCAATCACTAGAGGCGGGAGTCTTAATTGTTAGTATTTTTGTTGTTGTTGTTCCTTGGCTAAATCATTTCTGGAGCTCTCTTCTGGAATATAAACATTTGGCTGGTAACCTGCAGAGGGACAGAAAAGGAATGGGGATGGATGACAGGGTGAGCGGACATGAGGTGGGCTGATTCTCTTATTTCCATCAGTATGCAATGTCCTGGGCAGACCATGCTTTAGAATCAGTCACTTCTGTGACCCAGTCCTGGTTTCCCATTGACCACTGTGCGCTTTTGGACAAGATGCTTAACCTCTCTGAGCCTCAGGCCTCATAACTGGAAAAAGTGAGAAAAATGCCTGACTCACAGGCACAACTTGAGGCTTCAGGAAGACACCCTACGTACTTAACACAAGGCTTGCCCTGTGACTGAGCCTTGATCCAAGCCAGTGTTCTTCTTACCCATTCTGCTTGGAGCAGAATGCAATACGAGTTTCTGTGTCCATGGTGCTGCCCGAGCTCTGTGACTGCCCTGACACTGATCTTTCTCCTCTTTTCTCTTCAACCTTTCAGCCTTATGCTCAGTAGCTGGGAAACACTCAAGACAGAGACAAATTCTAGGGTGTCCATGCTAGGTGTCCATAATCATTTCCAGTGTAATAATGAATTCAGTACAAAACTAACATCCAAAATGCAATATTTTTTTTGTCCTGGAATGACTTCAGTGTGTATTTTCTTATATAAACTGTCTGGTAATTTTGATGTGTTTTTCCAAGTGTTAATTTTTACAGACTGCCCCTAAATGCAAGTTCATATAGGATCTGTGAGGACTATGTAATTTCATATGAAGTTTTTTTCCAGTGTAACAGTCTTCTAAGTACACTGAAGAAAAAAAAAAGAAAAAGAAATATATATATAAATAAACTACAAGACCTTTGGCCTAAAATACTAACTTGTGTGGCTTTGTACATTTCTAAATGTAAAAAAAATGGCTAATTCATTGATCCCCATGACCCCTATTGGAATTAACTGGGGACTCCATCATAATCTACCTATACAGGTGACCTTATTTTAAGGCAGCTGTGTAATCGTTGCCTGAGTGATAAGATAGAGGAACTGTTTGCTGCAGTTCATCAGCCTTCTGTTGTAAGGCAGGTCTCTTCTGAAAATACTGGATTTTGGAGTATTGTGCTCTGATCTTCCCTGGCTCATCTGACGCTTTGGGAATTTCAGTGCATTTTATCATGTATCAAAAGAAGTTTTAATTACCAAAAATTTTAACTGCTTATATTTTAAAGGTAAATGTGGGTGAAGATTTAAGCAAATACTGCTTTTCCATTTATATGAACAATCCCGCTAAATATGGGTCTGGCTAGAATGAGCTGCTTTGCAAATACAGCGTCCTGCATCCTTTTTATATACTTGGTCTACGTAGATTTGTAATCTGTTGCATTCGTTTGCCACGGCTGCTGTAACAAGGTACCACCAACAGGGCTGTTTGAAATGATAGAAATGTATTGTCTCGTGGTTCTGGAGTGTAGTCTGAAGTTAAGGTGCCAGAGGGTTGATTCCCACTGAGGGCCATGAGGAAGAATCTGTTTCCTGCCTGCCTGCTAGCTTCTGGTGGGCTGCTGGCAGTCTTTGGCATCCCTTGGCTTATAGATGACTGGCTTCTTCTCACGTCTCTTGGCATGCTCTTCTCCCTGTGTGCATGTCTGTCTCCACATGTCATAAGGAAAGAAAACCAAATCTGTAGCCAGCATTTCCAACAGAGGCCAAAAAACAAGTTATTTCTCCATGTACCTTTGCCATCATTCCTGAGTGCTTTCAAAAGCCGGCCTACAAAGCTCCCCTCACTCTTCTGCCCAACTACTAGGAAAGTCACCCCATTATATGAAAACCAGGGTTCATGAAATTACAGGATACAGTTGTAAAAGTGATGAGTCTACGTGGTGTGGAAAACAGTATGTGCAAACTCTTCACCCTATGGGAAGATTTAGGGGTTGAACTGTCCACCCAAACTTAAATTCCTATGCTGAAGTCCTAAGTCCCACCACCTCAGCATGTGGCCTTAGTTGGGGACTTGGTCTCCCCCGAGAAGGTCCCTCCCAACATATCCTTTCTATAAGGACATGAGTTTTTAGCCGTCAGTCCCACTCCAGTGTGACCTTATCTTAACCAATTATATCTGCGACAACCTGTTCTTAGCCATGGGGGTCTCATGAATGCATATTGATGTTACATGTGACATGGTCTTGACTATACAATAAATGCAACATGCATTTAATGTTTTCAAAACATTTTCACGTATCTCCGTATATCTCATGTTGTCCTTGAAATAGCCTTTTGGATTGTGAGTAGTAAGAAAGTGCCCACATCAGTCTTCACTTAATACAGGAAAAAAATGTGATACAGCAGAAAATATGATTTCTACTCTCAGTAGAGCAAAAATATATCAGCCACATCTCCATCCCATTAGCTTTTGCTTTTTCCTTTCTAATACTTATGCAGTTAATCTAATGAATGACCTGTAGGTACTGTCATTGGTTTTTTCTTAGTTCTTAGGGAATGTTGTCTTAATGAAAGACATTCTGCCCGGCTGATGATTATCGGGTCTGTGTATGTGTGTGTGTCTGGAGGCCGTTGAGAATGTGATCTTAGAAACTGCATGATTCCCAGAAGACTGCAAAATTGCACACACCTTTTTGAATCGTCTGCTACAGTGTAGCAGCTGTCCCAGGACAGGAGTGAGTGTTGACTTGGCTGTTCCTGGTTTATCAGATAAAACAGAAGACATCTTTCTCTCTCCCAGGCTTCCCTGCCCTCCTCCCTTTTAGGGTCAGATACACAGCTGGGAATGTGTTCTGATTAACACTAGCCTGTGCTCTGCTTTCAGGCATTTTTTACAGAAAAGTACTTGCAGGAGCATCCCGAAGACGAGGAGAAGATCGAGCTGCTGAAGCGACTCATAGCCTTGCAGGTGCGTTTCCCAGGAAGTGTGCGACCTCCCGGCTGCCCCTGTGCTCCGCGGGCTGACACTGGGTACCTTACCCTCTGGGGCTTAAATCTCTGAGCCCACCTACTGGGTGACTTTTCTTTTTTTCTTAACCCTTGGAATTACTGCCTATCTAACCGTTGGTTTGACCAAGTGACCTAGGAGTAGCATCCCATTAGACAGCACAGTGTTGGGAGGGACCTTCTTGGGGGAGACCAAGTCCCCAGACTGTTTGCTGGCCCGTAGTTCCCGCAGAGAGGGGTTGCATGACTTCAGTAGTAAACAGTGGGAGAAAACTCAGCCACCCAGTTCAGCCTAAGGCTTAAACCTGTCAATGGTTCATCCATAGAAATGCCCTGGAGTCGGGTGGGTTTGCCTGGCCGTCACCTTCCCCCCTCTTGGCCACCTTGTATCCCCAGTGTCGTATTTCTGTGCATCGCTGACCTGGGGTGGTGAGTCCCCCGCCTTGCCCAGAGAAATAGCCATCTCATGGATGTGTGCTGCTGTGTCTACCACTTTACCTGGCCACCCCTGCCCCCGGCCTTCCCCAGCCTCCAAACCGGAATCATCCTTTGTCCTCAACCAGGTTTCATTCTTCTCGCGTCCTTTCCTCCAGATGCCGCTGCTGACGGAGGGGATCCGCATCCACGGGGAGAAGCAGACGGAGCAGCTCAAGCCCCTGCACGACCGCTTGTCTTCTTGCTTCCGGGAACTCAAGGAGAAAGTAGAGAAGCTCTATGGGGTTATAACCCTGGTAAGGCTTTTGTCTAAACGGCCTATTGCCTTATTCTGGTCTCTTTCACGTTTCATGATATGATCGGTTTTTCAGATACCATGTGAGTCAAAATAGTATTGTTTTGGCATGGAAATCGCATGGGCAGGTTAGAGGAGGTGCGGTCTGCTGGTGATGACCCTCCACTATCGTTGTGCGAGAGAGGGGCTCTCACGTGTCAGTGACCCACATGGAAGGCTTGTGCAAACACAGATGGGCAGGCCACATTCCCGGGGTTTCTGATGCAGAAGGTCCAGGGTGGGGCCCAAGAATTTGCATTTCTGATGGACTCTCAGGAGGCCAACACTGCTGGTCTGGGTCCCCACTGTTAAAAACACTCAACTAGAAGCTGGGGTGCTCCTAACCCCAGACACTGGTTATTCCTGTCCTGTCTAGCCTGATTCTTTCAGTTTCTCCTAATCTTTATTCTTTATTCTGACGAAAAGTCTACACTCTTTCACACCTTTGAAGGAAAAAAAGAATTGTGTACTGCATTTTGCAGTGTGTGCAGCAGATTTCATAATTTTGTCATCCGTCCTAACACATTTTTCACAGCCACAATTTTCTTTTTTCCTCCTGAGAAGTCAGGTGGATTGGCGCATGTGCTAAAAATTGTTCCTCTCCAGCTGTTGATTATATGTTTGATTCCAGCTTCATTTTTTTGTTCTTTTTTAATGTGAGTTCATCCTAATCTCTTTAACCGTCTCCCTCATAAACCTCTGATTTTCAAATTCTCTTTCCGCCAATCAAAGCTTCAAATTTCTCTTCACGTGCTGCTCTCCCCTATCCTCACACCTCCATCTCTACTGCATTTTTCTCCAGGGTACCTTTGTTCGTTTCTTTAAGTCATCCAAGGATTCAGCCATGCCTGCCTAAGAATTTACCTCCTACCCTACTGCCAGTTAAGAGTTTGCCGAGGGTCATTTGTCTTTGACACAGATTCCTAGATGGCAAAGACTGTGACTTTTACCAAATGACTTTAGGTTTTATTAGACCAGGCCAATGTTTAGTGTGTTTATTTGATATGCTGGCACTTGGAGGGTAATGGACCCTCCTGGACGTGTTTCTTAAGAAAGTAGGTCAGTGTTTCTTAACTTCTGAAGATTCACCAGGTTAAGCATCAGGTCTACAGTTTCAGTCTAATGCTTCTCTATTAGGCCAGCACCCCGCTTCTTAAATGGCTGCAGGAAGCTCAGCTGGAGAAGCAGACAGAGGGTTTTGTTGTTTTATTGGTGGGAAATGAACACCTTAGTTTTGCCCCTCTCATGTGGCTAGTGGCAAATAACGGTGAGTTTTTCCCCCAGTGTTAGAAGTAAGGTAGTTTAATCTAGCGGTAACTAGAATATAAGCATAAAGGTAAGAATGTCAGTATTCTTATATATAATGTAATAATATTTACAATATAATAACTAAGACTAAGTATTTGCAATATTTAACAACAAAGGCATTAGGAGCACCAACCAGTTGGATGGGCACTTGCCACAAATGGGGTGGGGTGGCCCCAGTTCACATGGGCTGAACCCCAGGCCAGCTCACCAGGAGGGGTCATGTGTTCTTCAGCCACCCAACCTAACTGAGAGGAAGCAAAGCCGCACAGGGTCTGTTGTGCTTCCCTACATCATGTCGTCCACGCTGCGGAGACTGTCCATCACCTCGGTGACTTCCTCCGTGATGTCCACCTCTTCTAACTCATCTGATACTGCTCCCTCCAGACCAGGATCTGATGGGTAAGGCTTTGATCTTGAATTGCCAGGAGGGATGGGGTAACTCCTTACCAAAGTTTGCCACTGGACACCCAAGAAAGACTTGGTTAATGTCACATCGTCACAGTAAGAGAAGTAACGCAAAGGATAGGCATTCCACAGAGATCCTGCAGGTTCAGGCCCCAACCACTGCAGAAAAGTAAATATCACCGTAATGTGAGTCAAATGAGATTTTTGGCTTTCCAGTGCACATAAAAGTTATATTTACACAATACTGTAGTTTATTAAGCATGCAATAGCACTATGTCTAAAAAGCAATGTACATAACCTTAATTAGAAGTGCTTTATTGCTAAATAATGTCAACCTTCACCTGAGCTTTCAGCAAGCTATAATTTTTTTTGTTGGTGGGGGGTCTTGCCTCAGTGTTGATGGCCGCTGGTAGCTCCCCTCACTCTTCTGCCCAACTACTAGGAAAGTCACCCCATTATATGAAAACCAGGGTTCATGAAATTACAGGATACAGTTGTAAAAGTGATGAGTCTACGTGGTGTGGAAAACAGTATGTGCAAACTCTTCACCCTATGGGAAGATTTAGGGGTTGAACTGTCCACCCAAACTTAAATTCCTATGCTGAAGTCCTAAGTCCCACCACCTCAGCATGTGGCCTTAGTTGGGGACTTGGTCTCCCCCGAGAAGGTCCCTCCCAACATATCCTTTCTATAAGGACATGAGTTTTTAGCCGTCAGTCCCACTCCAGTGTGACCTTATCTTAACCAATTATATCTGCGACAACCTGTTCTTAGCCATGGGGGTCTCATGAATGCATATTGATGTTACATGTGACATGGTCTTGACTATACAATAAATGCAACATGCATTTAATGTTTTCAAAACATTTTCACGTATCTCCGTATATCTCATGTTGTCCTTGAAATAGCCTTTTGGATTGTGAGTAGTAAGAAAGTGCCCACATCAGTCTTCACTTAATACAGGAAAAAAATGTGATACAGCAGAAAATATGATTTCTACTCTCAGTAGAGCAAAAATATATCAGCCACATCTCCATCCCATTAGCTTTTGCTTTTTCCTTTCTAATACTTATGCAGTTAATCTAATGAATGACCTGTAGGTACTGTCATTGGTTTTTTCTTAGTTCTTAGGGAATGTTGTCTTAATGAAAGACATTCTGCCCGGCTGATGATTATCGGGTCTGTGTATGTGTGTGTGTCTGGAGGCCGTTGAGAATGTGATCTTAGAAACTGCATGATTCCCAGAAGACTGCAAAATTGCACACACCTTTTTGAATCGTCTGCTACAGTGTAGCAGCTGTCCCAGGACAGGAGTGAGTGTTGACTTGGCTGTTCCTGGTTTATCAGATAAAACAGAAGACATCTTTCTCTCTCCCAGGCTTCCCTGCCCTCCTCCCTTTTAGGGTCAGATACACAGCTGGGAATGTGTTCTGATTAACACTAGCCTGTGCTCTGCTTTCAGGCATTTTTTACAGAAAAGTACTTGCAGGAGCATCCCGAAGACGAGGAGAAGATCGAGCTGCTGAAGCGACTCATAGCCTTGCAGGTGCGTTTCCCAGGAAGTGTGCGACCTCCCGGCTGCCCCTGTGCTCCGCGGGCTGACACTGGGTACCTTACCCTCTGGGGCTTAAATCTCTGAGCCCACCTACTGGGTGACTTTTCTTTTTTTCTTAACCCTTGGAATTACTGCCTATCTAACCGTTGGTTTGACCAAGTGACCTAGGAGTAGCATCCCATTAGACAGCACAGTGTTGGGAGGGACCTTCTTGGGGGAGACCAAGTCCCCAGACTGTTTGCTGGCCCGTAGTTCCCGCAGAGAGGGGTTGCATGACTTCAGTAGTAAACAGTGGGAGAAAACTCAGCCACCCAGTTCAGCCTAAGGCTTAAACCTGTCAATGGTTCATCCATAGAAATGCCCTGGAGTCGGGTGGGTTTGCCTGGCCGTCACCTTCCCCCCTCTTGGCCACCTTGTATCCCCAGTGTCGTATTTCTGTGCATCGCTGACCTGGGGTGGTGAGTCCCCCGCCTTGCCCAGAGAAATAGCCATCTCATGGATGTGTGCTGCTGTGTCTACCACTTTACCTGGCCACCCCTGCCCCCGGCCTTCCCCAGCCTCCAAACCGGAATCATCCTTTGTCCTCAACCAGGTTTCATTCTTCTCGCGTCCTTTCCTCCAGATGCCGCTGCTGACGGAGGGGATCCGCATCCACGGGGAGAAGCAGACGGAGCAGCTCAAGCCCCTGCACGACCGCTTGTCTTCTTGCTTCCGGGAACTCAAGGAGAAAGTAGAGAAGCTCTATGGGGTTATAACCCTGGTAAGGCTTTTGTCTAAACGGCCTATTGCCTTATTCTGGTCTCTTTCACGTTTCATGATATGATCGGTTTTTCAGATACCATGTGAGTCAAAATAGTATTGTTTTGGCATGGAAATCGCATGGGCAGGTTAGAGGAGGTGCGGTCTGCTGGTGATGACCCTCCACTATCGTTGTGCGAGAGAGGGGCTCTCACGTGTCAGTGACCCACATGGAAGGCTTGTGCAAACACAGATGGGCAGGCCACATTCCCGGGGTTTCTGATGCAGAAGGTCCAGGGTGGGGCCCAAGAATTTGCATTTCTGATGGACTCTCAGGAGGCCAACACTGCTGGTCTGGGTCCCCACTGTTAAAAACACTCAACTAGAAGCTGGGGTGCTCCTAACCCCAGACACTGGTTATTCCTGTCCTGTCTAGCCTGATTCTTTCAGTTTCTCCTAATCTTTATTCTTTATTCTGACGAAAAGTCTACACTCTTTCACACCTTTGAAGGAAAAAAAGAATTGTGTACTGCATTTTGCAGTGTGTGCAGCAGATTTCATAATTTTGTCATCCGTCCTAACACATTTTTCACAGCCACAATTTTCTTTTTTCCTCCTGAGAAGTCAGGTGGATTGGCGCATGTGCTAAAAATTGTTCCTCTCCAGCTGTTGATTATATGTTTGATTCCAGCTTCATTTTTTTGTTCTTTTTTAATGTGAGTTCATCCTAATCTCTTTAACCGTCTCCCTCATAAACCTCTGATTTTCAAATTCTCTTTCCGCCAATCAAAGCTTCAAATTTCTCTTCACGTGCTGCTCTCCCCTATCCTCACACCTCCATCTCTACTGCATTTTTCTCCAGGGTACCTTTGTTCGTTTCTTTAAGTCATCCAAGGATTCAGCCATGCCTGCCTAAGAATTTACCTCCTACCCTACTGCCAGTTAAGAGTTTGCCGAGGGTCATTTGTCTTTGACACAGATTCCTAGATGGCAAAGACTGTGACTTTTACCAAATGACTTTAGGTTTTATTAGACCAGGCCAATGTTTAGTGTGTTTATTTGATATGCTGGCACTTGGAGGGTAATGGACCCTCCTGGACGTGTTTCTTAAGAAAGTAGGTCAGTGTTTCTTAACTTCTGAAGATTCACCAGGTTAAGCATCAGGTCTACAGTTTCAGTCTAATGCTTCTCTATTAGGCCAGCACCCCGCTTCTTAAATGGCTGCAGGAAGCTCAGCTGGAGAAGCAGACAGAGGGTTTTGTTGTTTTATTGGTGGGAAATGAACACCTTAGTTTTGCCCCTCTCATGTGGCTAGTGGCAAATAACGGTGAGTTTTTCCCCCAGTGTTAGAAGTAAGGTAGTTTAATCTAGCGGTAACTAGAATATAAGCATAAAGGTAAGAATGTCAGTATTCTTATATATAATGTAATAATATTTACAATATAATAACTAAGACTAAGTATTTGCAATATTTAACAACAAAGGCATTAGGAGCACCAACCAGTTGGATGGGCACTTGCCACAAATGGGGTGGGGTGGCCCCAGTTCACATGGGCTGAACCCCAGGCCAGCTCACCAGGAGGGGTCATGTGTTCTTCAGCCACCCAACCTAACTGAGAGGAAGCAAAGCCGCACAGGGTCTGTTGTGCTTCCCTACATCATGTCGTCCACGCTGCGGAGACTGTCCATCACCTCGGTGACTTCCTCCGTGATGTCCACCTCTTCTAACTCATCTGATACTGCTCCCTCCAGACCAGGATCTGATGGGTAAGGCTTTGATCTTGAATTGCCAGGAGGGATGGGGTAACTCCTTACCAAAGTTTGCCACTGGACACCCAAGAAAGACTTGGTTAATGTCACATCGTCACAGTAAGAGAAGTAACGCAAAGGATAGGCATTCCACAGAGATCCTGCAGGTTCAGGCCCCAACCACTGCAGAAAAGTAAATATCACCGTAATGTGAGTCAAATGAGATTTTTGGCTTTCCAGTGCACATAAAAGTTATATTTACACAATACTGTAGTTTATTAAGCATGCAATAGCACTATGTCTAAAAAGCAATGTACATAACCTTAATTAGAAGTGCTTTATTGCTAAATAATGTCAACCTTCACCTGAGCTTTCAGCAAGCTATAATTTTTTTTGTTGGTGGGGGGTCTTGCCTCAGTGTTGATGGCCGCTGGCTTATCAGGATGGTGGTTGCTGAAGGTTGGGGTGGTGGTGACAATTTCTTAAAAGAAGGCAGTGAAGTTTATCACATTGATCGGCTCTTCTTTCCATGAGCATTTTCTCCATAACATGTGATGCTGTTTGATAGCATTTTACCGACAGTAAACTTTCACCACTGGAGTCAGTCCTCTTAAACCTGCCGCTGCTTTATCAACCAGGTTTAAGTAGTAGTCTAAATCCTTTGTTGTCATTGAAAACATTCCTCATGGCATCTTTGCCAAGAGTAGATTCTATTTCAAGAAGCCACTTTTCCTTACTCATCCATTGGGTACAACTCCTTATCCATTAAAATTTTATCATGAGATTGAAACAATTCAGTTACATCTTCAGGTTCTACTTCTAATTCTACTTGTCTTGCTGTTTCCACATCTGCAGTGACATCTCCATGGAATTCTTGAACCCCCCAAAGTCATCCATGAGGGGTTCAAAACTTCTTCCAAACTCCTGTTAATGATGATATTTTGACTTCTTC